AGCAAGACAGTACACAATGAAGTGGTAGTCTGGAAATCAGGGAAAGGCAAAACAGAGCAGTGGCCTTTCCTCCATAGTTCTCGAGGATCATGAAGCTCTCCAAAAGAAACCAATACCATCGTGTCCCCCACAGCAAAGCATGCAGAGCCAGAATAACCTCCAATTCACTCAGGACTCTCCTCTCTGCACTGCCTCATCACTATCAACGGCCAGCGTTCACTGAAGACTTCCTGTGTACTGGAGGCGTGTAGGCAGGTGGCGGGGCCCTCGGAGCCTCATGCAGAGCAAGACCACACGGTGTGCTCTAAGTGTCAAAAGACCTTTGCAGAACCGGAAATAAGAGCCTCAAGGCAAGGAGTGAAAATACGATGATACAGAAGCCATCTGAATCACACCACAGGAGAGGGTCGGTCCCGATCGTCCTGACCAGGTGATGGGGCCAAGGAGGGGAATCTTGGAGAATGCACAGAAGAAAGGGCCACACACTGGACAAGGCAAGCGTCCCATGGGGGACAGAAGGAGGTGAGGTCAGACAAGGAGACAGGCCAGCCTGCAGCCTCCACCTCATTCCGAGGAAGAAGTACCTGATCCCCTTGGCAGTGAGGAACCCTTACAGGCTCTCAGCTGAGGAAGCCCACTTCCTCTTCATGGTACACACATGTGGGTCTCATACTCTGTCTTGAAAGGGCACAGAATTACATCTGCATGACTCTATTTGCATAGTTCTTGGGCTCAGAGCCATTCTAAATTAATCAATACTATGACATGATAATGCCAAGATGGTATTTTTCTCCAAATTTCCTCTAAATTCCAGCAGTGACTAAGAATCTTTTAAAGTTTTCACTAAAACTATATTTGACTGCTTCCTCAATGTCAATAAATATCTTCTTGGGAATTCTCTGGCAGTCCAGTGAGAATCTGAGCTCTCACTGCCAAGGACCCAGGTTCAATCCCTGGTTGGGGAACTAAAATCCCAGAAGCCATGTGGTGCAGCCGGAAAAAAAGAAAGAAAAGAATTATCTTCCTATTAAAAGGTAATGGATTGAATATAAAATATGAAGCTGGAGAATGAGCACTGTCAAATCAAACACTGACTCTGAGCAGGGACTGTGCTAAGACAATAAATAAATGAATTTAAAAAGTCCTTCCTTCAGACTTTACAACCCTACAAATCTCACAAAGTAGGCACCAGAGCTAATATGGCAAATTAATCAAATAAGATCTGTTCATCCTAAATGCCCAACTTCAAGCCATCTGCTATCATCCTGTGCTCAGCACTTTTTTCCTGCTCTAGAGCCTATACATGATCTACTGGAAGCATAGCATAGTAAGAGCACAATATCTAATCTCTGAGTAAGATTAAATAAGAATTTAATTTTAACTCCAATTCCTCTTCTGCATAGGAGTCAATTAAATACTGCTCCTTGTGAGCAAATCAAAGACTCCTTTTCCATGGACTACACCCATCAAGAGAAGAGGTGTGTTGTAACTATAAAATGATAATGTTTCAGACTTTGGTCCTGGTATAACTTCAAGAATTTCTTTAGGACAACACCTCAAGCAAGCAAGGTCACAGGAATGTGAAGGCAAGACAGCTGGGCAGACATGGATGGCAGCAGGAGCCAAAAGAATCAACATATACAACGTGGAAATTTTAACCATTACACTAGTAAATACTATACCCCGACGAGAACCTGCTCTAAAATTTGGTCACTGCCGGCTTCCTAGCCTTGTTCTCCTGCTGCGTTCTATGATCTAGCCATGTGAGTCAAAGATGGCGAAACTGTAACCCAATATCTGTTCTCCTCTTCCTCAGTAATTTAACTACTGGTTTTTAGCTGAATATATGGCCATGGAATAAGGGCTTTGCCAACGTCCCCTGCAGTTAAGCGTGGCCATGTGACTGGGTTCAGTTAAAGGGGCTTGTGGCCCTCTCCTTCCCTTTCCGGCTGACTGTGGACAGCGGCAGCAAAGGAGTCGTGTGGGTCACTAAGTGGAAGGTGACTGTGGAAGGTGACAGCACGAGATGGACAGAGCAGTCCCTGGCAACTGTGAAACTTGCATGTATCAATCCTGGACTGCCTACTTGGACTCTTACATTAAAAGCTTCTTTATTGTTTAAAGCACTGAGCCACTGGATTATCTGTCCCTTGAAGCAGTTTGTAGCCCAAAGACATCATACCAGTCTTTCCAATTGTCTATTCTGTGGTCATGGGGCTTGTGCACGTGACACCCTCTGTCTGAAAACAGAGCTCACACCTTCCGCTCCTTGTCTGCTTTCAGTCTTCAAAACTGAGCTGGAAAGTTCTATCTCAGTTATGTCTTCTTTGACACCCTGGATGAGGTCAAATACTCTTGCTATTTTTTCATTATGCTTTCCCTTGAATAACTCACCACACCTACAAATTGCTGGGTTAATATGCATCTCTTTCAGTACTAAATACATTTTTTTCTAATGTGGACCATTTTTTAAAGTCTTCATTGAATTTGTTAGAATATACTTCTATCTCGCACGCCTGCTCAATCACTAAGTCCAGTCTGACTCTTTGCAGCCCCAAGCAAGAATACTGGAGTGGGCGGCCATAACCTTCTCCAGGGGATATTTCCAACCCAGGGATCCAACCAGAAAGTCCTGCATTAGCAGGCAGATTCTCTACCACTGAGCCAGCTTCTGTCTTATGTTTTGGACTTTGGGCCCCAGGTCATGTGGGATCTGAGTTCCCTGTTCAAGGATTGAACCATACTCCCCTGCACTGGAAGGTGAAGTCTTAGCCACTAGACCACCAGTGAAGTCCTAAGCAGTAGATACTCTTTAAGAGTAAGTATCTTGCTTTGTCCACTATCATTCAAGTCCTCGGCACTCAGTATATGCCCAACAAGCATTTGCTCAGTGAAAGAACAGATAAAGTCACAGCCCTTGCGTGAATTCTGGACCACACCTCGAGGACTTCTTGGCCTTACATTACAGGACTCTATTCCTGTCAGACACTCTCACAATTGTAAGCACTTTCCCTCCATTGTCTTTGGATCCTTCAAGATATCTGCATAGCTCTTTCTGACTGCTTCCCTTTCTCATTATACGTCTAGGACTAGAGTGGAAAGTACTGGGAATTCCCTGGTGGTCCAGTGGTTAGGACTCTGCACTTTCACTGGGAAGGACCCAGGGTTTGATCCCTGGTCAGGGAACTAAGGTCCCACAAACACTGCAGCCAAAAAGAAAAAATAAAAAAAGCAAATTCCTGGAGGTTAAAAAAAAAAAAGAAGACCTTTCACTAAGTAACATGACTGACATTTTCAAAAGCCAGATGCCTTACAGATATTCTTAAAAGAAAATTTAAGACACACACAAACTACATTGTCTGAACTCTGGGCATGTAGAGGAAAATATTTAAAAAATATTTGAAAAGCCTCTGGTTTTAAAGTGTGAACCAGTCTCTAATGGCATTAAAATACCTTGTCTGTTTGTTTATGTACTCATCTTTCATTGACAATGAATATACTACATGGTTTACCCATTTTCACAAATTAAGTACCTTTTTGTTATAACACTGTGGACTTAATGAAAAAGGGCCTTAAGAAGCTTGTACTGTGACATAAGACAAACAAACAAAAGTCAAGAAATCTGAGTGACAGTCTCGGTTTCATCAACGACTCACAGGGTGATGTTGGATCAGCCGCTTCTTAATTCTAAAATGAAGTGTCTGGTACAGATAATTCCTAAGATCCGTTCCAAGGATAATACTTTGCTGCCATATCAATTTGCTGTTAATCACTTAACAAAGCTAATATTGGTGATTATGCCCCAAACTATATAATCACAAGTAGTCACAGGAAACCTGGTATTTAGTCAATAGTTGTAGGTTCTAGGGAGGTTTAAGTGAGACTAAAATATGACCCTTCAAAGATCTAAAAACCAATGTGGGTTTTGGAAAAGCTAGTTTCTGCGAGATGAGAATGGCTTTCAGAATGTGAATTTTTCCAATATATGTTATTCTCCTCCCACATTCGTTAGGACCCCACACTGGACTCAGAAGGTGCCTCTGCAAAAACCCACTGGCCAGTAAAACCGAATGGTTTTCATGGCCCCTCCCTTGATCTCTGCACTACAATCCCCTTAGGCCATCCTGGAGGGCAGCTGATGCAGCGTCAGGCAACAGCACAAAGGTCTGTGCTACAGCAACATGCAAAGACATCTTATCCAGTACTTCTGAGCCAGAACGGCCCAGCCGAGGCTTTCCACAGCTCTAGTAAAGGTTAGAGAGATTGACAGTCGGCTCCCGGACTGAACAGGCTGGAAGCTCCCATTGTGGGTCGGCATACCCAAGCTCTTCTTCTCAGAAGCTGCCAACCCTACCATTCCTGCCCAGCCACTCCAAAGCCACAGCCTACCTCTTCACGCCCTTAGGGCCGACCGCCCTGCCCCCGCCCCACAATCGCTAGTCAGTCCTGACCTCCTCGAACCGCTCGCCCGAGAAGCCGGCGCCACGAGCCTCCAGCAGCTCCCCGAACTGCTCCAGGGTGACGGACTCTTCGCCGCGGCCCAGGCGCTCTTCCAGCCAGCGCAACAGCGCGCCGTGGTGCCTGGACACCAGAGATTCGCAGGGCGGCGTGGGCCGCAGAGCAGCCGCCGCCTCTCGCAGCCGGGCCGGCTCCAGCAGCGCCGCGGCGGGCGGCAGCGCCGGGGCCGCGGGACCCTGGCCGGGGGTCGTGCTCGAGTCCGCGGCCCAGTCCTGGTGCGGGCCCCAGCCCTCGCCCCCGGCGGCTGCCGCCTCGTCTTCACTGCTGTGACTCGGAGCGTTCCCCATGAGGTCTCCGTCTCGGGCGCCCGGCTCTGCTGCCGCCGCCGCCGCCTCCCCGCCACGACCTGTCAACCTCCGACGGCACCCGGCGGGCGGGGACCGGGAAGGGACGACGGCGGCGGCTGCGGCTTCCGGCTTCCTCGCCGACAAGCGAGGACTGCTGTCGCAAAGGCGCCGTTAAGCGGATACCACCAGCTGTCGTGAGACAGCAAACCGGGGACAGCCTGATTTCCGAGAGGGCGCTTCTGTCATTACGTCTACGTAACCTGCAGCCTCATTTGCTACCATCTTTGTTGGGGGCGGACAACCGGCAGGCCAGAATATTCTCTCGCTAGTCACTTACTTAGTATCTCTCAGCAATCGCTAGCTATGCTGGAAAAGTACGAGGAAGGTTGGAGCCAAGGAGTGAGCTTTTCACCAAAGACTTTCCCTTCCAGTGCCCCATTGTCCCCTTAGTAACATGCGGACCCGCGAAGGCGCGCGTCGCGCCGGTGACGTCGCGGCCGGTTCTCCGCCATCTTAGCTGTGGACCGAGAGGTGGCAGCTTCGGAGGAGCCAAGAGGGGTACGGCTGCGTAAATGCCGGGGCTCGGCGGGCGTGGGCTTTGGCTGGGCCTGGCCGTGGCTGCGGCAGCGGCGGCGATGGCCGCACGGCTGATGGGCTGGTGGAGTCCTCGCGCCGACTTTCGCCTTTTCATACCCGAGGAGCTGGCCCGCTACCGCGGTCGCCCAGGGGACCCGGGCCTCTATTTGGCCTTGCTCGGCCGCGTCTACGATGTGTCCTCTGGCCGGAGGCATTACGAGCCCGGGGCCCACTATAGCGGCTTCGCAGGTATTAGCAGGGCGGTTCGCGCCTTTTCCTGCTACGACGCGGGCGGGTAGCCGCCTGCGCTTCATTCATGCACGTATTCATTTATTCATGTGTTCATTTCCTTTTTTTCCTCCCCACATTTCGTCAGGCCAGCGTGGGGCCCGGGCTCCGCTGCATCATCCATCTGGTGTGTTTTGACTATGGGCAACTGTCACCGGCCTCTATTCTCCCTGTCTTTTCCCACCGCTCCTCCTGACTAGGTTGGAGAAACACATCACTTGCCTCTTGTCAGTTACTCTTTCCCGGCCTGCAGAAGCTCCCAGGACCTGCTTTGGGCCACAGTGCGTGGCTCTTAGGGCACAGAGATGAGTCGCTGCCCTCAGGGTTCCCCAGCTGATTCCAATCATTACTTCAATGTGTCCTAGTGAGAAGTGACTTCCTTTCCCCCATCCCAGGTTTCCCTAAAGATAGTACATTTGGTTTACATTTGGTTTACTTCTAGTACAAATGCTTATATCTGTCTTAAAGAAGTTTATCAGGGGACTTTCGTGAGACCCAGGTTGGATCCCTGGTCAGGAAACTAGAAGTTTGAATGCTACCTGCAGGGAAGGATGACAATCCCACGTGCTGCAAGTAAGATTGGTGCAGCCAGATAAGTATAAAGTTCATCAGGTTAGAGCACAGGGAAGGAGTCTGGCCATCTTTATACTTAGAACAAAGTTGAGCATATATTAGGCCATAAAGAACATTTGTCAAATGAGACTTATTCTAACCCTGTTTTACAGCTGGGGAGGATTGGAGGATGTAATTTGCCTAAAGCCCTCACAGCTAAGTCCTGACTAGGACCATGCCTTTTAGAGATGTTACTTTACAAGCCTAGAGGAGTGACCACCTCCCAGATTAAAAGAGAAAAAGCAAAGGAGGAGCAAGCCTAAGGCCATTGACTAAGCTGATATTAAATAAGCATTGTCCATTTGTCATTATCTCTGGGGAGTTGGGAAGTTGCCTCTGGCAGTTAAATACAAGGCAGGTCCCTGTCTCTAGGGAGAACTTGAAAAGTAGAAGCACTGACAGAGAAGGAATTATGTGCAGTTGATGATGCTGAGGTCCTCAAACAGTCCAAGAGAGGGAAAGGACTTACCCAGGGCTGCCCAGTGACTGAGAAGCAGAGATGCAACTGAAATCAAGTGTTTTATTCACCTGCCAGGTGAGGACACTTTTGGATACACTCTCCTGCCGTGCCCTGATGCAGCTGTCGTGGCTGTATGCACATGTGAGCAAAAACCTCTCCCTTTCTGGGGTGATTTTTCTTTTGCAATGTGCTGTCCTCTAGAGTGAGTTCCTTTGTGTCCCATGTTATTCACCATCAATTTATTAACCACCACCATTAGCTCGCCTTGTCCCCAACCCCCTACACACTCTAGTAGGGAAGTAGATACATTCCCTTATTCATTTGCTCAGTCAGTATTTTTATTAAGATACTCAGATCGTATAAACTCCACCCTTTTAGACAGTAGAATTTAGTGGTTTTTAACTTGGGAAGTTGGGCTTTCCTGGTAGCTGAGCTGGTAAAGAATTGGCCTGCAATGCAGGAGACCCCAGTTCGAGTCCTGGGTCAGCAAGATCTCTGGAGAAGGGATAGGCTACCAACTCCAGTATTCTTGGGCTTCCCTGGTGGTTCAGACAGTAAAGAATCCATCTGCAATGTGGGAGACCTGGGTTCGATCCCTGGGTTGGGAAGATTCGCTGGAGGAGGGCATGGCAACCCACTCCAGTATTCTTGCCTGGAGAATCCCATGGACAGAGGAGCCTGGTGGGCTTCAGTCCATGGGGTCACAAAAGAGTCGGACAGGACTGAGCAACTAAGCCCACACAACATGGGGAGCTGCGTAAATATCACCACTGTCTTACTGGCATTTTGTCACCTCCCCAAAGAAACCCCATTTTTGTTAGGAGTCATTCTCCATCCCCTCTGACTACTTGGCCCCTGGCAATGAGTATCTACTTGCTGTCTCAAAAGATTTGCCTCTTCTGGCATTTCATGTTCATGAGTCATACTTGTGACCTTTTGTGTCCGGCTTTATTCACTTGGCATAATGTTTTCAAGGTTCATTCATGATGTATTGGCATCTATCAGTACTGTATCCCTTTTTATGGCCAGATAATATTCTGTTGTTTAGATTTTGTTGATCTGTTCATTATTTCTTGAATATTTAGGGTTTTCCCACCTTTTGCTTATTATGAGTAATGCTGTTATGAACATTATGTACCAGTTTTGTTGTGGACATGTGTTTTCAGTTCTCTTGCGTATATACCTAGGAGGGGAATTGCTGAGTCATATGGTAACTCATGTTTAATTTAATTTATATGTTTTGGTTGCACTGGATCTTCATTGCTGCACGCAGGCTTTCTCTAGTTGTGGCAAGCAGGGACAACTCTTCATCGTGGTGCACGGGCTTCTCGTTGAGGAGGCTTCTCTTGTTGCAGGCCATGGGCTCTAGGGCACACGGGCTGCAGGAGTTGTAGCTCCTGGGCTCTAGAGAACAGCCTCAGCAGTTGTGGTGCATGGGCTTAGTTGCTTTGCGGCATGTGGTATCTTTCCAGACCAGGGATCAGAGGATGATCAATTTGTTTAAAATATCAGTCTAAGTGTTATACAGAAAATAGATTAGTTGAGGACAGAAATAAACAGGGAGACCTTCTGGGCTTTACCCTAATCACTTAGATGAGAGATGCCGGCAGCCCGGGCTCTAGTGGTAGATGGAGCCAGGTAGTCTGATACAAGAACTATTTAGGAAGAAATTATAGGACTTGGGAACTAACTGGATGTGAGGGATGAAGGAGGTGTCAAGGACTGTACTTCTGGATTGAGCAACTAGTTATGAACTGAGATAGGGAGTATTAGATTGGAGGCAGGTTTCCAGGGACTGGGGATGCCGTGTGGACATTTTGAACTTGTGATGTCTGAAAGTCCTCTAAGGAATGTTGAGCAGACAACTGGATATACAGGTCTGGAGCTCAAGATACAAATTTGACACCTTTGGTATCGAGGTGCTACTTGAAACCACGAGAGTGGATGAGATCATCAAGCGGAGGGTGTAGATGGAGCAGAAGAGGTGAACAAGAATCGATCCCTGAGACTGGTAGAAAACGAGCTAGAGGGGTAGGAGGAAAACCAGGATTGTAGTGTCACGGAAGCCAAGGAACCCCGCCATGTGAAATGTTGCTGAAAGTCAATGAAAGAATGGGGTACGTGCCAGAATGTGTCTCCAGGATCCAGGAGCATCTGTCACTGAGGAGGAGGGATTGGCTTTGCTTGGGGTTGCGGAGTGAGAGGTTAGGGAGGTATTTCTCAGAAAATAGATTCTTGAGTTGATATAGTGTTGGTGATTTACAAGTTAATCTACTGGAAACATCTCTCCTGCAGGCCGAGATGCATCCAGAGCATTTGTGACTGGGGACTACTCTGAAGCAGGCCTTGTAGATGATGTATCCGACCTGTCATTTTCTGAGATGCTGACACTCCAAAACTGGCTTTCATTCTATGAGAAGAATTACAAATTCATGGGTAGGTATTCCGCAGGTCATTTTCATAGATTTCATTTAGTTGTCTTGAATTTGTCACACTGCACCGCATGTGAGGTCTTAGTTCCCTGACCGAGGATCGTACCCATGCCCCCTGCATTGGGTGCTCAGAGTCTTAGCTACCAGACCACTGGGGAAGTGCCCAGGTAAACCTTCTAGAAGTGCTTTCTGCTGCTTCTCTTGCCATATGACAGGGGCTGCTAGTGAAGGCCACTTGTACTTTAGGACTTGGAGATAAAAGTCCCTGCATCTAAGAACTGATACCTTCTTGGCTCTGGCCTCCTGAAGCTGCTCTTGCTGCCATTGCTTAGACCTTACAAATTCTGACAGATTTTAAACTAAAACCAGCCTATGCAATGTGTCCACTGAAGGATTGAGCCAGAAAAGAATGATGGATGGGGGAGAGCATGAGCTTGGGGTAAGACCTACATACTAGCTTCAGAGACTCCCCAGCTACTATATCTTCCGGTCCCTCTCCCAGGACTATGGGGCACTGATATCTCTCTCATAGGGGTGTATGAGGATCACAAAACATTGGTAAAGTGCCGGCAAAGCTGCTGATACTGAGTGAACGCTCGATGGATGACTTAGATGGATGACTTATTTATGTTACATAAGACAAAATAATTCTATGTGGGGAAGAACTTAGCCACAAAAATGTCATGCAATAAGCGATACATTCGTCAAGCGTTTATAGAACACCTGCTCACCTCAAGTGCTGTGAAACACTGAAAAACGAGTGACAGGTGGTTCTACTCTCGGGTACTGATGTCTGGAAGGGGGGAAGATTTTATGTTTTCTGTCCTGGAGGTCTCTACACCCAGAACAGGGAGGCTTCTATCCAGAGTGGTGTAAGACATTGAGAGATGTTGGGGCAGGAGGTGCCACAAGTCCTTCCAGCCAGCTCCTGATAAACCAGCAGCCAGCCGGACACCGTAGAGCCCCAGGGGCAGAGCTCTCCTGGGGACTCAAGCTCTCCTGGGGTTTCTGCAGGAGAGGCCTCTGTCCTGCCCCTGCCCACCACCGCACTGACGTCAGCTTTCCTGCCGCCACAGGAAGGGTGATAGGAAGGTTCTATGGAGAGGATGGGCTCCCCACCCCAGAACTGACCCACGCAGAAGTCATGATGACCAAAGGCTTGGAGGCGAACAGACAGGAGCTGATAGAGAAGCAGAGGTTCCCACCGTGCAACGCTGAGTGGAGCTTCATCAGGGGTAGCCGGTTCTGGTGTTCACAGCAGAGGTAAACGGGCTTCCCATCTGTTCTTCCCGCCTCTCCCCAAGATCCAGCTGCTAGGTCATCTGGTCTGAGTTGTTCCCTGAGGCCATACGTTGAGAGTTAACCCAGGAGAATTTTCAAGACCCATGTGCCCTGGGATAGTGATTCTAAAGCCAGACAGGGCTTCTGAGATACTCCCAGGCCAGTGAGGGAGGGGGGAAGCCTTTAACTGGGGTTGTCAACCAAGCAGGGAAGTGGGGCTGCCTCCTGGGAAGGCAGACATCTGGGGCCAGGGGAAGCGCAGAGAAAGGAGGACTCTGCCCTCAGAAGGGGAAGTTGGAGGAAGCCGGGGTGGGTGCGGGGGGAGAGCATGAAAGTTCCGGTGAACACTGCAGACCATCACCTTGGGAAGACACCAAGATGGGAAGTGGAATGGCTTTCACTTCTCACAAGGCCTGGCTCACTGCCTCCTCCCTCCCCTCTCCAGAGACACTCAGGAGTTAGTGCTTATAAGAAGCCCTCTTTCCTTCTTTCCTTAGTGGAGGTGTGAGCAGAGACTGGATCGGCGTTCCCAGGAAGCTGTTTAAGCCAGGTGTCAAGCCCCACTGTGTGTGTGTGAGAACAACTGGCCCCCCGAGTGACCAGTTGCCGGAAAACCCTATGCACAGAAATCGTGGGGACCTGGATCACCCCAACTTGGGGGAGTACCCAGGCTGCCCACCCCTCGCCATCACATGCTCGGTCCCCCTCTAAGCTGTACCCTGTGTGTCTGTAACCCCCATGGAACCCTGCCTAGAGCCCTAACAAGCCAGAGGATGGCTCCTACGTGAACAAGAGAGCCTGGAAAGACTGGGCTACACTCTGCAGACGGGACTCATGCCCCCCCGCGGGCTCACCGTCTGGTGACTTAGGCCAGCGCGTGGCAGCCTGCCTGGTACTGGTCAGTCTGTTGCTGCCCCTGTCCCTTGGGTCTCCTTCTCCTCCTCTGGAGTTTGCAGACATTAATCGGCACAAATATGACCAACTCAAAACTCACTGGACCAACACACAAAAGGACTCTGTGCTCCAACAGCTTCTTTCCCAGGGACTCCTGGGCTGCCAGATTAGCCGCTGGCCTGGCCCTGCTTGTAACGCCCACCCTGGTCAGGGATCAGGGGCTCTGGCACTCCTTCACCATCCAAAAACAAGCAGACACATCCAGAAAGTCCAGATGAATGAACAGTGCCAGCACAGCCCTGTTCCCGTTCCCTGTGTGCTATTGTGAGCCCTTTTACAACCATTCTTATATGTAAGACCTGTGCCCGAAGGCAAACATGAATTGACAACCAAAAGCCACACTGAGTTAATCTGAGCTGGACCCATATAGAGGTGAAACAAGACAGGCTGATTCTGGAAATGGAAAAGCGTTTGCCTGTGTAGATGCAGCAAATCCAGATGTCTCTGAACAGAGCAACAATTTATGTAGTCCTTTGTGTTTTTAATTAAAAAAAAAATTTGGCTGTGCTGGGTCTTCGCTGCAGTGTGTGGGCACTGTAGTTGTGGTGCACGGGCTCAGTTCTCTGTGGCATGTGGGATCTTAGTTCTCTGTCCAGGGATCAAATTCGTGTTCCCTGCATTGAAAGGTGGATTCTTAACTGCTGGAACACCAGGGAAGCCGCAAAGCCACTATCTAAAGCAAGGATATCATTCCTTTCTTGGAACACTTCAAATCAGGGATGTGCATCTGTATGTACACACGTGCTCAGTCATGACTGACTCCGTGCCTCATGGCTGTAGCCCATCAAACTCCCTTATTCATGGAATTTTCCAGGCAAGAATACTGGAGCTGGTTGCCATTTGGGATGGTGTGCTTTCAAAGGGAGAAGTCCGCATTTTGAGCCAGAGGCAGTTTCATAGCCCTAACACAGACCCTGGGCAGCACAACATCCAAGCCTGGGCAAGGTTGCAAAAGCCAGTACCAACAGCCTGGACGGTGGGTGGTGTGTCCAGGGTCATCTGTAATCTCCCACACTGGGCCAAGTTCATGCATTACCTCTTGGATTCAAGTTAGGCAGTTGGGGGCAAGGAGTGTTCCTACATTACAGATAAGGAAATGAACCTGGCATAAATCCAGGTTCAGAATCCCTGTCTGCACCTTCACCTCAGCACCTCCCAATCCCCTCAGCTGTTGACCCAAACATTCTCTATGCTTCTTCCTTTCTCTGTCTCCTCTCCTTCATCATTCATCTCACTTAATAGCTTTCCAGGCCCCCTGATTGGAAAACAGAGGCTGCCTCCCCTTAACCAGAGTGGCTTGCTGCCCTATGGCCGCAGCTGCTCCTGACCCGTGGACCCTGTTCCGGGCACCCTTTGCCACCCAGGATCTTCCTCACCTGCCGTTTAGGACCTCTCACCTCTTCCTGCCTCCCTCCCTCAAGTCTGCATTCAACAGCCCACTTCCCTCCCCTCATGCCAGATTCCTCTCAAATACCATATCTACCTACCTCCTGTCCCAGCAAAGATTTTATATTAATTTTAGGGGTAAAATTGCTTTATGATATTAGTTTCTGCTGACGACAGTGAATCAGCCATATGCATACATATATCCCCTTCCTCTCGAGGGCCACCCTTCCCACTGCCCATCCCAACGAAGCTTTTGAAAACGCTGCACATGCTCGCTGTCTCTGCTGCTCAGCCCCCATTTGCTGTGTAACACAGTCGCCCGGCTTCTGCCCTCCTCTGCTCAGCAGCAAGCTCAACTCTGTGCTGGCAAAGCCATTCCACGTTCAGTGATTACCTACCTGGACCTGTCACATTTGAGGGCCTTCATGCAAGCGCCCCTTGGCTTTTTCCTCATTTCCCTTATCTCCCTCCAGCGTTCCTTCTCAGCCTCCTGTCCTCCACACAACCCTTCCCTCTGGCTTCTTTCCTTCAGCTGTCGTCTAGTTCGGGCAGCCTTCCTGATCATTTCTGCAGGCACCGCAGACTCCACAGTGCTGGCATCCAATCTTCATCTTCTTCCTCGAGATTCTTCTGGTTTCCCTGGCTGGTTCCACCATCGCCATCTTAAAGCAGCCCCGTCACACCAAGGACTCCACCCAACCAGCTTCCAGGTCCTGGCGATCCCACCCCCTTACCTGCTCCCAGCATTCCTCTGGCTGAGGCCTTCCTTTCTCACGTGCTCTAACTGTACTCCCTCCAGCTGCAACCCCACAGCCCCCTGCCAAGTCATCTCCTCTGATCAGGGCATTATTCTCCAACTGAACCTCTTCCATGGCTCGCAGATCTGTAGAGATTAGGTGCTAACTCTTCAGCAGCACAGGAGGCCCTCCTGTGGTCCGTTCTCTCTCCCACCCCCTCCCACGTGCTCGGAGCCCTCCAGCCTTCATCTTGCTGCTTTCTGCGTGCAGCACCTTCACCCAGGCCGTCCCTTCTACCCGGAATGACACCTCTTGGGCTGTTTGTCCAGCTCTGTTCCATGGTAACTCAGTCAACTGGAAGGCCTCGCCAACTGTCAACCCACCAGTGGATTTAGACGTGCTTTCCTCTAAGAAAATAATTCTGTGTTCACTTCTAAAGTAACAAGCATCACAGTGCCCTGTAACTATGAACTTCCTGCCAACCTCTCGTGTTGGACTGCAGACTGTCTAAAAGAGACAGGGACTGAACATAACTTGGCTGTGTAGCCCCACGGCTACTGTACCTGGCACATGGGAAGTGTGCTATTTGCTCTGTTTGGCAGATGAGGCAAGCACAGCCTGAAGAACTTGATAAAGGCGCAAAGCAATGAAGCTGAGCCTAGACCTCAAGGTTCTTGTCTTGATTCAGTGCCATGGTCCTGTATCCAGTTTGGTGTGTGTCTGCCCTCCTGGAACAGGACAAACAATAGGAGGCGGACTTGTTCCAGGTCCCACACACCCTTGAGCGCAGTGTCTGAGGCATCCTGGTAACTCAGCCCCAGGTTGACAGAGGACTAGCGTCATTGCCACTGCTCTCCTGAGTTATTCAGTATTTACCAAGCGCCTGTGTCCCCTGGGGTTGGGGCTGGGAGGAGAGTGAGGCTCCGGCCCTCGGGGAGCTCACAGTGTGGTGGAGTGAAACCCTGGCTAGAGCAGCCAGAGGCCACTCCTGGGGGAGGAGCACGGGGACAGCATGGGGGCCAGGTCCAGAGATGTTTAGATCTTTCCAAAGACAAACAGAAAGAAAAGGAACAAAACGAGGCATACGAGAGTCATCCCAGCCACGTGTGGACTAACCTGATTTCCACCCTCGAAAGCACTTCTACTACCTGGGCCCCCAGACTCCTTCAAACGGGCAGCAGACACGACTCCACCGGCCTGCACCAGGGAGGACCTCACTGTGCACACCGCAATTCGTGCTTGCCCAGGAGGGAGGACGCATCACTTACTACGGATCACCTTCCTCAGGGCAACCCTGTGAGCCAGAAGAACCATGGTCACTTCTATTTTATAAACACGAAAACTGAGGCACAGAAATCATGCAACTTGCCTGTTTTGTACTCACTTAGTATTTATTGACCTAATATGACCAATGTTCTCCTCAAGGATGGCTGTTAGGATTACTTTGGACTATTTCACAAAAGCCCCTAACAGTGCCTATTAATTATGAGAAGCCACCAGAAAAGGAGATTTATCAGTCATTACATCTAGCCTGAACAAGGGTGAGCAAAATGGAGGATGGGTAAAGGAAAGGAAAACACTAGCTCAAGAAAGCGTTGAGGGCCAGGTGAGCTACTGGATTTGCGTGACTGTATGTGGGGGCGGGGAATGGATCACAAGACTTTTAACTTGCAAACCCCTAATCTTGCCTTAGTTTTCTCTGAAACCCACAGTAATGGTCCTCCCTTCAGACCACAGCCAGCTGAAACCTCACCATGGATCTTCTCAAGTCGCTCCTAAATAACTGAGTCAGGGAATTTCCAGGGTCTGCGGGAGAGCTGCAGTGGGGTCAGGGGGCTGAGCTGGAGCAGCTGTGGTCATGGGTGTCACCGTGAGCTGAACTCTGGGCCAAGAGCACAGTACATCCAGGCAGCTGGTGGTTATGTTCACAGCAGCTTATTTTTTCACTGCTGTCAACAATGTGTTTCTGAAAAAAGTGTTGGAAATTCTAACTTTCCTGGAGGGTAGTTGTTAAAGAAATGTATTCACATGTCAGGAGTTTAAAGACATTTTGTGTGTTTGTTTTTAATTCTTATTGGTACTTTTTGCATTAAAAGGAACTACAAATGTTATTAAGGTTTCCACTTTAAATGCACAATTTTACCTCATTTTATTTATAAGGACTTGTTACAGAAAATGCAAATATCAATATTTGAAAAATACATTCCATTACACGAACTCCAAAGAAACAATGCTGATAAGCGCCATGGTCCTACTGATGCCCTCTGACCACCACTGACCCCACACCACGCCCCACACTGACCACCACCTGGAATGGCTTGGAAACCAAAGTGATCAACCTAAACATGTGCCTGCGGTTTCTGCCCAGGCCTCCCCCGTGGCAGAGCACACAGGGATGTATGTCATGGTAACAGCCAACTCCACACATCTGCCCAAAACACGATGTCAAGTCATTAAGTTGAGCAGGCTACCAACTCAAGACTCCCTAGCTACAGAACACCAACATTGTCTGTTTTAACAGGTTAGTATATTGTTTATGCCACACAAAAAAGTAACTGTACAGGGAATGATCTTTCAAAGAAACTCTTTAAGGCATCTATGATAACTTCTGGAAATTTAATAAGTGTTTTAGTCAAATAAGTCAGCTCTTCACTGAATTACTTCCACAAAATGAGAATGTGGCTTCCAAACCCCTTTAGGAAATTGTTTGCCCTCGGCTTCCTCCTCTCCCTGGCTGGGGGGTGGGACCTTTGGTGCCTCAGATTAGAAGGGGCTGGTCCTGAGGGGAGCAAGCCTGGGTCCCAGAAGAAAGCTTGTCTCATGAGCTTCCTCATAGCCTCAACCTGCGAGTTCCAGGCGGGGCTGTCGTGGAAGCATCCCGCTTACTTGCTCATGCTACTTAGTGTCACCTGGAGAGTGAGTTTGCTTTTCAGATCTAATCATTACATAGCTCAGTAGGGTTTTCTCCTCCAGGTTAAAAATAAAACCTAGATGGAGATCAAGGCTCTCCCATGTCCCAAGGCTTTTCGTCCACGTCATGATTATGGATGAGATGAGCAAAATACCATTTAATACGACAGGTGGGAGATGTGAGCCAGGAGTGGCAGTAAACCCACAGCAAGTTGAGCTTCACGCAGGGAGCCCATTCGGGGGGAGCAGTGAGGATGCTGAAAAGGGTGGTCACGAACAGCTCAGGGCTCTGAGGTAGAGGACTAGCGGTCACGTGGACCCCCACTCCTGGAGAGAGAGAGGCAGGTGAACTGGGTGATCTCGTCTGGCCTCAACTGAATTGTTAACGGGCTGACAACACACCAGCAATAAACTCCAGACAGAACACACATTCTAACATGTCATTCAGTGAGACACCACTAAAAAGAGAACTGGAAATTAAGAAGTCCTAAACGCAGGCACTTAAGTTTGTGGGAAGTTTCCTGTATTCGAGGATAATAGTAAGTTAGTTTTAGCCACTCTGTTTACAACGTAGCACACGGTTTGTACCTTCATCTTTAAGAAAAAAAAAAATAGACTTAAGAATACACTTTCTCACAGATCTGATGAGCAAGCGGCAGTTAAAAAGCTAGCAGCATTAACAATGTTGACTGATGCAGCAAATTATATTTCAATCAGGTCTAGTCTTCCTGCTCTACTTACTCACAATTGGCAACTTTCTGAATGAATAAAACTGAGTTTTAAGCCAAGGATTAAACTGTGACAAGAACAGCCAGGCAGTTCTAGAGTCAAGTTCGACAGCTTGGCAAACACAAAGAGGACCAACAGCATGTCAAGTCCCACCAGAGCCACCGCGAGAGGAACTCAGAGTGTGGCCTCCCACCCATCGGCATGTGTCAGGGAGAGCCTAAGACTGTGGAAAGCAGCTTCTTCTCGATCTACAAGAATGCACTCTGAAGACACCACAGAGCTCACAAAACGTCCCCTCCAACTCGTGGAGGCTAAGTACCATCACTATCGCTGGACTCTGTGAAGGTAAACAAGCCTGACAATTTCAAACATGATTTTAAGATATCTTTTTTTAGAGTGCAATTAGAGGCAAGATTGTTACTGAGATTGGTATATTATGACAGGGGCAGGACAACCAGCCTCATCCCTCATTGAATTCCCATCCTCCTCTCTGCACCACGGACAGTCAAAGAACAGGTATAAAAGTACTGACCACCTCGATTCATACCTGAAGCATAATTACCTTACTTTCCAATGATAGAATCAAACCACCTGACTAAGGCCTACTTACTCGGGCCCTGTTCAAACAACAGGAAATGGAAACTGAACACATGCTCCACATGGTCAAGTGTCTGCCAAGACCAGTTGTTTTTCTAGAAAAATTCGGTATGAAATAGGTCACAGACTTTGGGGGATAGGGAACTCTTGTAATTTTTTCTTTGAAATACTGTGCACAAGCTCATATTAACATAGAAAGCATATATATCTTATAAATCACAGAAATATTAAAAAAAAAAGTAGCACTCTGGTTTATCAGCTCATTTTACACACATATTTAGGCAACAGGATGTATAAATTCTACAGCGACATGGAGGACACACCCACTATCCAAACAAAAAAAAACAGACTGCTGCAAAAAAATATTTAGTCCCTTTTACACATATATGCACACTTCATTAATGCAAACAAACAAAAAAATGTAGTGGTTACTAAATGTCTGAAAAAAACAGTATGTATGATTGAGATTGTTAATCTCTGAGTACAGCTGTACAACACATATTGTTCATCTCAGAGTGTTTTTTTTTTTTTTTTAAGCAGTGGTATAAGTTTCTCTCTAAATGTGCATTTTAAAAAAACTGGCCAAAACCTTCAAAAGAAAAAAGTTTAACAACTCAGGGTTAATATATACGTACTAGCAGCGACTAAGGCCTGACGGGTTCCAGGGGCTTCATTCAGCACACGAGCTTTCCAAAACGGGGTCATACACGCTTGGCCAGGGCCTTTGGCTGGTGGCTCTCACAGGGCAGATCAAGAACCTACACAGAGCTGGGACCCAGGCATGAGGGCGCTCACAGAGTAACTGGGAAGGTTTTAGCAAGAAACACTCATGTCAAGGAGATGGGACCTGCTGGTCTGAGGCTGCAGATTCCCTCTCTCCTCACTTGGCCCCATGTGACTCTCTTGCTCCAAAGGACACTCCGAGGGAGTTTTCCATTTAAGACTTAGTGTGAGCTGAGGTCCAGTCAAAGCTTACTGGTAGAATCACTGATGCACAGATATGTGAGGGTATTTTTGAATATGGATTTTTAAATTGGAATCACCAGTAATGCAGCTATATAAAAAGTGCAGCACAATGAAAGTGCATTTTCTCCACCACTGCCTAGCGGCAGGTAACTAAGGACTCCAGACAGGACACGGCAAGATGAGAGAACAAGACGGCTGCTAGGAGGTGTCAAGCTGCCAGAGTGCAGCTGGACACCCCAGCAGCATGAATACTGGTAAAGCTTTCAGTTGTTAAGGCCACAATTTTTCAGCTCTCATCTTTGAACCCTGTTTAGAAAGATTTCACCTTTTTTAAAGGGGTAGTTCACTAAAAATACAGCCTAGCTTTTCCGAAAAACAAAAGAGTGAGAAACTTCAGGCCAAGAGGATCCTATTTACCTTTATGAAAACACTGTGCAGAGAAGTCCAGAGCCACTCACCCTAGAGGAAAGCCAGCTCTCGTTGTGCAGCCAGACACCGGCTTCCCACGACCAGGCTCGGCCTGGGAAGCCCACCCAGGCAGGAGACGCCATGAATGCTCTGAGATGGACACTAAGCTACTGGGAGAGAAAATGGGTTTCAAGTGTCCTTGTACATCGCCAGCAGAATGGGGTCTACTTCCTATCACATTTACCACTTAGGCGTAAAGGCCTGGCCCGACCAGTGAGACGTCCAGCGAGCTCGACCGTGGTCTGACACGCTGACAGTCATAACAATCATCTGGAACGGGCTCTGTCACCCTGGTCCGTAACTGTTCCAGTCTCGCTGTGGGAAGACGACGGCCAGCGCCTGCTCTGGGTGGGCCAGGCTGGTGAGCAGAGCAGCTGCTGGGGAGGCGACTGAGGATGTGGTCTGGAACTTCCTGGGGGCTCACTAAGAGACCCCCCCCAAAGTCAGGACGTCAAAGCAAATGTTGCAAACTCGCACAGGCTTGTTCAGATCAAACTTTATAATAGGAATCTCCTTGGTCGAGCATTTATGGCAAAGAAGACGTCCGCAGTGACGACTGTGGAGGCAAAGAAAAGAGGTGTGAGGGGGTTCTTGAGAGTAGATTGCAGCTGGGCACGTAAGCACTCACAGCAGCCCCCGCAGCGGACACGTGAGCCCATGCCTGGTACTCTGCAGTCAGCTCTGCCCCTTGCCGGCTCACTCACACCGAGGCCTGTATAATTGACAGTCCATGATAACAAAATTCTAGCCAGTAATTAAGTTAAAGTTATCCAGAAAAAGCCTCTTGCTTTAAGGCTTAAGACAGGCTCAGCAAGAGCCAGAGAACTCTCACACTTGGGGAAGATGATGCAAGGCCTGACCGGCTGCCTACGATGATGGACCCCAGCATTCTACAGGAAAGCCACCAGTCTGAGTGTCTGCTGGCCTCCCTAACTCTCTAGACGTGGGCAGGGTCCCATGGGCAGGTTTTTCCCAGGAGAGTACCAGGCCCTGACAGGTTCATGGTTTATCATGGGGAAAGGCAGAAGCAATCAACAGAAATCTCCTTATTCTTCTGGCGGGTGACTGGGGGTGGGTCTCACCAGTGATGTTTGCGTGTTGTGACTCCGAACTTGGCAGTGCACTCGTAGCAGTTGGAGCCATCGCACCATGGAGGCTCCTTGGACAGCATATCTGTAACACAGCACAAGACCAGTTCCTGTCAGATACTGACTGTGTCCGGCCAGACCAGGGAGTAGGGGGAGAAGGGAACTGCACCAGGAAACAAAGGAACACATCGCAGAGGGACGTGAGGGACAAGAGAGCAACAGAGAGGCATGCCTCTTTTCACTGCGCTTTGCAGATACCGTAATCTTTTCACAAGTCGAAGGTCTGTAGTGACCCTGCATGGAGCACATCTATTGGTGCCATTTTCCCCACAGTATTTTCTTACTTTGTGGGTCTGTGTCACACTTTGGTAATTCTCACAATATTTCAAATTTTTTCATTATTATTATATTTGTTATGGTAATCTGTGATCAGTGATCTTTGATGTTACTATTTTAATTGTTTTGGCATTTTTTAGCAATAAAGTATATATAAATACATTGTTTTTTAGACAGTGCTGCTGCGTATGCAACAGACTACAGGATTATGTAAATGTAACTTTTATATGCACTGGGAAACCAGGAAGATTCATGTTGACTTACTTCACTGCAGTATTTACTTTACTGTGGTGGCTGGAAACTGACTGAGGTCTGCCTATTCTAATTGGGTCACACAGGGGGGGAAAAGTCAGTGGGGCTGAACCAAAGGCCGTTCTGAAGGATGGAGAGATTCGGCATCAGCTGAAGGATGAAGGGTGTGCAGATATGTAGCCAGGAGAGCTGGGAGGGAGACCTGCCTGGAGCCGATGGATTTCCGTTAGGATCAGGGGAAGCGGGAATCTGATGGGGCCCCAAAGCAGGACATGCTGTGAAGAGACGGCTAACAAGGACACTCCCCATCCCTGTTCAAAGGCACTCTGTGGCATTCACAGACAAAATCTTTAACAAGGTGGTGCCTGGAAAACTACCACCTCAGATTGTGCAGCAAGTCATCCTGAGATTTTAAGACCACCAGTACATCTGGGTAACAGACACTGCCAGGGTGACTGCACTGATGGAGCTGAATGCAGGCCACTCACCTAAGAGTCTAAACAGCAGCTGCTTGGTAGCGACCTGGTAGTTGAAGATGTTGATCCCTTGGTTGTTGTTCACCCCCAGGCGGGCCCCCGAGCGGACGACGGCACGGCACAGGTTGGCGTTCCCTTTCATGTACGCCAAGAGCAGCACTGGAAAACAAAACCACACGCAGGGCTATTGCCCACTCGGGCCCAGCCTGGCCCTGCCAAAGGGCCAGCAGAAGATGGCCAAGGGCAGGACACAGCCGTGGCAGGACATTCGTTAGCAAAGTCCCCTTGACACACAGAGGGCCCTGCGGCTCTGGTGAGAGCTCTGCAGAGGATCTGCAACATCTTGCAGCCGAGAACCAGCCATGAGGCACGGGCTCCAGACACACTCTTGCCCATTCAGAGCTTTGGCCACAAGAGAACCGAGGAGGGAGAAGACGCTGCAGGAAATATGCACCACTGTCTCAGCTGCCTTCCTCCTGAACAGAACACTCTTCACACAGTGCAACAAATTCTAAAGACTGGTGAGGTGTGCACACATGGAGAAAACCATAAACCAGTGTGGTCAGCTTGCTCCAGAAAGTTCCTCAACCCCATGGAGCCTCTCTCCTGTGCCAGCAGTGGACACCCAGGCTCTGGCCAGCCCACCCTCCTGGTCCTCCCGACGACTACAGCTACAAGCAGCTCCTTTTTGCTTACGTTTCACAGATACTTTATTTAAATTCTTTAATTCTGCAAATGATTCACAAAGATTAGCTTATTATTTCAAAGGAGGAAGCAGGCATAGAGAGGTTACAAATTATACCCGGTCACCTTGCTGGAATATGATGGAGCTGGGTATCTGAAACCAGGTCTGTGTAACTCAGAAGCCCGGGCATGAAGCACCTGCCTGCTTGCCGGCTCCTGGACCACGCTGCTCGCTGGAGCAGGTGCTGGGCCGACAGCTCACTCCCAGGGCTGACCTCCCTGAAGCTCAGGCTTGCCACTGCTGGCTTAAAAACATGTCCATGAATCAAGGCCAAGAATTCTTCCCAAGGTCAAGAAGCAACAACCAAACATTTGGTCCCATGCTGAGGCAACCTCTTGGTGACAGCACTGCTGTCAAAGGCCACAGAGGCTCTGGCTGGCATGAACAGGGATACAGCAGCAGCAAAGAGTTCAGACAGCCCTGGGCTGGGAAGAGAGAGACTTGGGTTTCATCTTTGTTTCCTTACTTGAAAAATGGGAACACACTACATGTACTGCTTACCTTATATGGTTATTGTGAGTATTCAGGAAGAAAATGAATGCAAAAGTACATCAAAAGTATTATGAAAGCTACACAAATTAACACAGTGATTGTGGGTGGTGACAGTACTACCATGAGAGAGGCCTGTTTATCAACCCCCTCAATCAAGCATCAGCCCTTATCTGTAGAGGACATGCCTTCTCTGTGAATATGTACTACGGCCCATTTCCTCCTTCTGAAGCACCTATAAGGCAACTGTATTTCCTCTCTCTCTCTCGGGATCTGAAAGCTTGGGGAGGGACCTGGGTGACTAGATACAAGGTAGATGAGGCCAACAGAAACAGGTGGGCCGGCCTGTCTGGACATGGGTATGGCTTTGGAGCACTAGGTACACTTTAGGTGTGCTTGTGCCTCAAGTCAGACACTACCAACTTCCACCTCAGGGATCTGTGATGATACTCGCAGAGCCCAGCCAAAATGCACGGGGCTGAGTGTCCTTCAATAATGACACGTGTGCCTGGGCTCCTGATTTTCTAGGAAGCAAGGGACACCAGTAAGACAGGACCGACAAGAGCCTCACTACGTACCTGTGTTTCCTTCTGTATCCGGTTTATCCAAGGGATACTCGGGCATGCACTCTAAGAAGAGATCAAAGATGGCTGCAGCATTCTCCTTGCCATACTGTCCCAAAATGTGCAGTGGCGACTGGCCTCTAAGAAGACAAACTGGAAAAGTTAGGTGTGTATCTGCCATAGCCATCATGCATAAAAGAAATGGGATTGTCTGAACTCTGTGATGCCGGATAAATCTAAAGGATACAATGGTCATAAAAGTTTTCCTAAAACGTATTTTCAAAAAGAAAAGTTCAGGGTACCATAGGCTGGTCAAGGGCCCTAGTGACCAGTTCTGCATTGTGCACCTGGGGCTCATATAAGATGCCCGTGACCCAGCTCGGAGGGGTGCACCAGGGGATGTGGAGTCCTGGCCTCTGCTGCAAATCACACACACTCACCGTAGATTAAAGGCTTCAGCATCCACGGTGCACTCTGTCAGAAGGACCCGGATGTTGTTGAGTCGGCCATGCATGACAGCAAGATGCAGAGCTGGGGAGGAAATCCTCTTACAATGTGAGCCCAGACACACACACAGAGCATCTCAACTCTGCTCGGCCTCACAAACCTCCCACTGAACGGGATTCAGTCAGAGTAGCCACCATCCGCTCAGAGAGCCCTCCTTTCCAGTCTTCACTGCCCTCAAGAATAAATCTACATGCAACCTCCTAAGATCTGCTTTGTGCCTCTGCAGTTATCCAAAAGTGAGATTTAATGGTTTCACAAGAAGCCATTTAGGTTTCTAGGGTCACCAGTCACATCAGGAGGCTGCCCAGGTCCCCATCAGGAGCAGGCTGCATGCCCAGCTCAGGGCATTTCCTGTCACAGCCCGGCTCCTGTAAGAGCCAATCTCCGGGACAGGGAACAGACCCAAGGGTGCGTGCTGTCCTGCCACCCCAGAAGGAAGGGATTGCTTGAGGCCCTTGGCACCACACACAGGGAACGCCTGGGAATTACCGTTATTTCCATTCTCATCCACAGCAGCAAAGTCCACTCCATTCTCCAAGAGGACTGAGCAGATGGTGGGCAGGTCCTGCTGGGCAGCGAGGTGGAGGGCAGTCTGGCGGTGCTTGGTTAATTCATTCACTTTGGCACCTGCAAGAAGCTGTTGAAGTTGATTACATGAGCAGCCGCTCTACCACCATCAACCAAGGTCTGGCGTAAGGAGCCAAGCCTGCCAATCTCCTGGCCTCCAGGGTTTGCCCTCCTGGCTAAGCTGGGAGCGAACTCCTGGGGAGGCTCAGGCCCACAAAGTCTGTCCCAAGGGGAAAGTGGCGATTACCAAAATGTCCAAAAAGCCACTCCTTAGGACTCAGATAGTCTAAGACTATGGAATATAATAAAAGTACACAGGACTGCAGTGATCTATACCTTCCTCACCATCCTCACGCACAGTGGACACAAGGATGTCCACTCCTTATAACAGTAAGACCAGATGGCAGAAAAGGTTTAGTTACGAAAGCTACCATATATACCAATAGTAAAATAGATGGCCACTAAAATAATAAAAATTTACGGTTTATCATGAAAGGTAAATTAGAAGATGGTAAGATAGTGTGATTCCATTTCAGGAGAGAGGGAGAGAGACAGAAATGTGTATACACACACACACACACATGCACACACTTTGAAGGTGTTTAAAAGCATATATACCAAATTCAAGGCAGAGTTGGGAGTGAAAGGGAGATACTAACCACTTTCTGTCCTTATCTGTTTTAAGTTTCTCCACAATAAAAATATACTATTTTTGTATTATTTTTTTTAAAGAAAGAAAGCAACACAGAGAAGTGCAGAATCAAAGCAAGAAGGCCCTTTAAATAATACCTTATATATTCATTCATCATCCACTTTCTAACAAAGTTTCAAAGACAGCTGCTAACAAAAAAGACTACATAGTGAATAAATACCATATTATATATTTGAAAGTTGCTAAGAGAGCAGATTTAAAAATTCTCGGACTTCCCAGGTGGTTCAGTAGTTAAGAATCTGCCTTTCAATGCAGGGGTCACCAGTTTGATCCCTGGTCTGGAAAAATCCCACATGCCACAAAGCAACTAAGTCCAAGAGCCACAAATGCTAAAGCCTGTGTGCCTAGAACCTGTGTTCCACCACAACAGAAGCCTCTGCTCATGAGAAGCCCACGCACCACAGTGAAGAGCAGCCCCCGATCAGCTGCAACCAGAGAGAAGCCCACGTGCAGCAACACAGACCCAGTGCAGCCAAAAAGTAAAATTCATAAATAAGTCTTTATAAAAAACCAATCCTCATCACAAAAAAAACATTTTTACAACTATGATGGTGAAAGATGTTAAGTAGATTCACGGTGATTATTTTGCAAAATATACAACTATCAAATCAATATGTTGCACAAAATATACAACAAAACACAGTATGTTGAGTTTGGTTGCTCAGTCATGACCGACTTCTTGCGACCCCATGGAGTGGAGCCCACCAGGCTCCTCTGCCCATTGGATTTTCTAGGGAAGAATACTAGAGTGGGTTGCCTTTTCCTCCTCCAGGGTATCTTCCCAACCCAGAGATTGAACCTGCGTCTTCTGTATTGCAGGCAGATTCTTTACCATTTGAGTCACCAGGAAAGTCCAATATGTTGTACACCTGAGGCTAATGTGTTGTTTGTCAATTCTGCCTCAAAACGTTAAGCAATAAAGACCAAGGACAAAGAGAGAGCACTCCCTGGAAAGCGCCGGCTGAGAGCCTGGCACAGAGCAGGTGGACAGAGACATGATCTCGTCTCCTGATGCCCCTGCCTGCCTCTGCAGGCCACAGCCTACCTTCCCTCATGGCCTCACCTCAGCATCTGCCCACTGGGCACGCAGGACATGCTGCCCACAGACACACTCTTCCGAGTGTCCTGGCTGCTCCCTAAATCCCCACTGGCCTTTCCCAATAACTGGCAAAACACCTGTGACAAGAGAGTCTCCACACATCCTACAACATGCTTTGTCCACAGGTTACAAAAGTAATGTTTCAGGGACACTCACCAAGTTGCGGACAATAATCTCCGAGCCTGCCTGGACAGCAAGGTGCAAAGGGGTCAACTTGGAAGCATCCTGGACTCTGGAATTGACGTTTGCCTGGACGCTGATCAGAAACAGGACGCTTTCAATATCAGAGTTCTGAACTGCCACGTGCAGAAAATTCCGGCCCTTGTTATCCACCTAAGGCAACAAGTGGGAGCCAAAATGTTAGTGGGTGCCCCCTGCAAGAATGCCTCCCGAGCACCTGTGAGCTGCACTGACCCCTGGAGAGGCCGCACTGCAGTCCTCCCCATCCCAACCCCCTAATTACAGACCCGCTCTGTGTATTTGTCCAGAGGACCGTGTGTGCATGGCCACATCCATGTGGTCAGAAAGCCAGGGAACTAAACCAGCTGCCCTGACATCCTTCTGCAGCAGGAGTGGACCTGGAAGGCCAAGCAAGAGATAACCTGAAAGACCGGGAAAGGAGGCCAGCAGAACACTCGGCTGCACGGGGAAAGGCACAGATGATGCTGGCTGTGGGTGTCTCCTGCTTTGGCTAAAACAAACACCCAGTACTCTAACACCAAAGCTGAAATGCCAGTCTGACCCGTGAGCAGCCAAATGAGCTTCCAGAAATTTCCAGAAAAGTCTCCTCTTACAGTGAGCTACAGAATAATTCATGTTGGGGAAGGCTGCCAACGGTATGTCACAGACACTGTTCCACTGATGTACAACGGACAGCGGGTCATTCAAATCCAACCACAGAGGGTATGCCAAATACCAGGCTGTCATGTCAGTGTGAGGGCTCAGGAAGAAGTAAGGGAGACACACATGCTACACACACATCCAGCCATCCATCACCCTGACACACACATACATCCAGCATCCTTCACATCACACACACATCCAGCCATCCACCCCCCGACACACACATACACCCAGTGTATCTACACTGGTTTCACACTACATGGAGAGGAAAAAGTGAAAGGACTGTCTCCACTGAAGAACATTTCACCCCATGTGAGCAAGGGTGAGGTTAACACCTACAATCAGTCACACCGAGGCAAATGCTGAAGAAAAGGGATGCACGAAGCCTGAAATACAAAGCCAAAGTCTTCATCCATGTTAGGACTTTTGTTCAGGTCCCAAATTTCCATTTCACCTTCATAAACGGCTACTCAGAGATCTCAGCAGTATTCTAAGAGCTGGGTGGAGAGGCACATATCTGAGGATCAACCTCACAAACCCAGCCCAGCTCCCACCTCAGGCCAGTTGCCACAGTCTCCTCGCCCAGTCTGATGTTGCAGGTCCACAGCTTACTGTCCAGAACAAGGACAACTGAGACTGCTAAGCTGAATGGTGAAAAGTTCCTCAAGGTCAGTTTAAGCCCTTCTAAGACACTCATTACTGGGGCAAGTAAAACACCAAGAAAAAGCAAAGGGTGCCCTCAGTTCTGCAAGACAAGAATTCCTGTCACCGGGTCCCCTTCCTTGTACACGTGGCACCACTGGGTGGCTGACGTGCAGGGCAGAGCAGGCGCATTCCATCCAGCAGTGACTGGGCACCTGAATGGCCAAAACTGAAGAAACACCTTTATACTGAAGAGACCTGTTTAGTTCGAGACTTGTGTTTAGCCTGGGTGTCGCTTGCTCACCTGCTCAGCAGCCCCGGACTCTCGTTTCAGGATGGCCTCGGCCGCCTTGTTGTTCTTGTAGGTCATGGCGCAGGCAAAGGGGGTCAGGCCCTGCCGGTCTCGCACGTTCAGGTGGATGTCGGGGTGAGAAATCAGCAGCTGAATGATGACACCGTGTTGGTTGCTGATGGCCACGTGGACAGGCGTTCTTCCTTCTGCATCCTTTAGGGACCAGGCACAGATTTCAACATCCAAGTGAAGATAAAATCCAGGAAAAATATGATACGGAAAAAGTTTTAAATCAAATTCAGTTCTGAGAATCAACACTATCACTCTGAATTTGAAATCATCTTTTCAAGAGGTCAAACAGAGGATGACTGACAGCCATTCTACCTCCATGCTCCAGTAACCCAGGGACACAAACACATTTGGTTTAGAGAAGCTGCAGTCAACCTCATCTCCAAGTTAAACCACTACTCATCTGCCAGATGAGTAGAGCAGCACACACAAGCTAGAATGCTGAAAAGCATCAAGGAACATGACTCAGGGATGTTCTATTGAGCTATTGAACATTTTCTTAAATACAGTACTCCGCTTGGGACTAAAACAAATTCTCAATGGCAATCTGTAACTAATGGGGACAGGTGGCAAAGATAAGTTGATTGAACAAATCTTCTTCACTTTGTAGAAAGGACAAAGACACAGAAGAAAAAAGTTTTGACCTGGAATAACTACAATTATGAGACAGGCTGTGGGGGCTTCCTGGTGGCTCACTGGTAAAGAACTGGCCTGTAGTGCAGGAGATGCAGATTCAATCCCTGGATTCCCTGGGTCGGGAAGATCCCCTGGAGAAGGAAATGGCCACCCACTCCAGTATTCTTGACTGGAAAATTTCATGGACAGAAGAGCCTGGGAGGCTACAGTCCATGGGGTTACAAAGAGTCAGACACGACTGAGAAAATAAACAGCAACAAGACATCTGTATGACCCAGGAGACAGCCACTTCCTGTGTCTGCCCCTTTGGCCCACTCATGGAAAAGCAGGGTCCCAGGAACAGAGACTGCAAGGTCCCCGGACATTAGAGGAGATTTCTCTGATTCTGGGATGACCATCCCTCTACCCGGAAAAGAGACCCTTCCTACCTGTGCATTTACATTGGCACCAAACTCCAAAAGACACTGGATTGTCTCTTCCAGCCCCCAGGAGGCTGCCAAATGCAGAGGGGTCTGCCCATCTCTGGCCTCTTCCTCTCCTTCCCCATTAGCACCAGGCTGTCTGGGACTATTCACGTCGCAGCCACTGAAAGGAAGGGGAAGTGAGAAGAAGGCATGCTGACAGGCGTGGAGCAGCAGCCTCATCCAACTCCACAGAAAGTCGGCTGCCGACAAGGACTGTAGTCCTTGGTCTCAAATACTGCTGTGTCCTGCTCCCACAGATTCTTCAGCAACTGGTCCTGGAGGCAACTTGGGTATCAGAACTCTTAAAAGCTTCCCAGGGGATTCGTGTGCATTTAAAGATTGAGAATGGTAGCTTGAACGCTATCCTGCACAACCTCACTCTGCACTCTCCCACACCTCCTGCACTGAGCCCGTGGAGGCTGTCATGGCTCCGGCATCGAGGTGGAGTCCGGCAGAGGCCATTCGGTCTCCTCCACACCAGCCTCTTGGTCTCACCGTGTGAACTGGTCTGAGCTGATGACAGGGGCCAATATGGTTCTCAAAGCGGGAAACTGGCTTAGTTTTTACACTCTCTGATCTCGGCACATGAACCCCTCTCCTCACCAGACAGTCAAGTCCCTGGCTGCCTGGACCTGACAGAACAATGACCCTCTCTAGCCTTCAGTATGAAGGTCAAGCCAGCTACAGACATGTCAAGATTATAGGTAGACTAAGAGAGAAGACAGCCAGTTTGCAATACTCCAAACAAGATCTGGAGGGACACCCAGGCCTCTCAGACCTGCGAACGAGAAAGCAGGCGATGGGCTCGTTGTTCTCATCGATGGCTCTGTGCAGCAGCGTCTGGAGGCAGCCGCTCGGCCCTGGGCCCCAGCACGTGGCGTCACAACCGTGCCTGACCTGCAGGGAAGCACAGGTCACTCACAAATGCTGCCCGGCAAAGCTGAACATGCTTATTACCGTCTCTCAGCCCTAAGCTACCATTACGTATATCTTTCAGGTAAGATCCAGCTGATAGTTAACCGGTAATTATTTTAATCTGTACCATTCATTCATTTTACAAACACTGATTAAAATCTGCTTTGGTGCAAGCTTGTGCACTAGGTTCTGTGGGAAGGATTTGAGAAATAAAAGAAAGATGTGTCTGATCAGCACCTTCTAAAGCTGTGTCATTGAAGGGACAGAAAACACAGACAAGTGCCTGCACACACGCACGTGCACACACACATGAAGGGGTAGAAAACAGACAAGTGCCTGCACACACGCACGTGCACACACACATGAAGGGGTAGAAAACAGACAAGAGCCTGCACACACGCACGTGCACACACACACATGAAGGGACAGAAAACAGACAAGTGCCTACACACACACACGTGCACACACACACTCTTACTTATACCCCCCAGTAACATATACTCTGCAAAGAACTGGTAATCTCAAGAACAACTGGCTAAAACCCTCAGGTGCAAAATGTCTTAAAATCACATTTCAAGCCCTTCAGAAAACTGAATGAGCTTTCGGGGTTACGTCCGCTTTTGGGCTCTGTCTTCTGAATAAGGCGGACACTCCTAAGTTATCACTCTGGTGACAGTTAGGGCAGCCCACAGCCAGCTAAGTCACCTCAGGAGAAGACCTCGGAGGAGGGGCCTCAGCTCTCCTACTTTTTGGTAGTTTTACTGATAAAGACAGCCTGAGAAAAGATGTGGGCCGTGACTATGTTGAACCCCAAGTTTCCTGAACACAACTTTCAAAAATGCTCATTCCTGACCCAATTTGCTACTTGGCAGATCTCTTGCTTGCTATGATCGCAATGGAGGTGCCAAATCCATCTCTGACACAAATCACCCCTACATGTAAGTGGAGCGGAAGCTGAGCTTGTCTCACAAGAGTGGATGCGATGTCCTCCAGGTTATTTGCCAGTGCGAGCCACAGCGGGGGGTTCCCCTGTTCATCCGGCACAGACATGTCAGCTCCTCTGGTGCATATGGCATCCACGACGAGGGGAAGCTGATTCCTGATGGCCAGCTGAAGGGCCGTCTCCCCATCCTGAGTCCTGCTTGGACACAGACACCAGAACAAATGTGTGGAGCTGGGATCAAATGACAGAGGGTGCCCTTCTGGGTATCCTGGAGGCCAAAGTCCACTGTACCCCAAACATGCTTCACTTACATCCATCAATATGCTTTCAGAGAAATTCAACCTGTCAATAGCATCTGCCCCTCCTGCCTTTTAAAAAGAGCGTATCGCCATGCTATCCCGTTGCAACCAGCTGCTCAGCACACTGAACTCTTATAGCGGCTCCCACAGCCTCTGGATAAAGTGCCACCCTGACCACCCATCTGACAAAACACTTTCATATACTCAGTCACTGCAGGTCAGCTGACACTGAAGATAAATTTGTTTAAACACAAAAATAATAAAAAATTTTAACTGTGTATTTTTGCCCTGCAAGCCTTCCCTCCTCTGTTTTTTATTTTTTTTTCCTGCAGTATGGATCTTAGTTCCCCAACCAGGGACTGAACCCAGGGCCCCTCAGTGGAACTGTGGAGTCCTAACCACTGGACTTCAAGGAAATTCCTCCTCGAGCCTTTTGATAGCTCATTTGTTGGAAAGTTCTTCATTATTAAGTGAAATCCCTACTTCAACAATTGATTTCTTTTTTTTTTTTTAGTTGGCTTTTTTTTTTCCATTTATTTTTATTAGTTGGAGGCTAATTACTTTACAATATTGCAGTGGTGTTTGTCACACATTGAAATGAATTAGCCGTGGATTTACATGTGTTCCCCATCCCGGTCCCCCCTCCCACCTCCCTCCCACCCGATCCCTCTGGGTATTCTCAGTGCACCAGGCCCGAGCACTTGTCTCATGCATCCAACCTGGGCTGGTGATCTGTTTCACCCTAGATAATATACATGTTTCGATGCTATTCTCTTGAAACATCCCACCCTCGCCTTCTCCCACAGAGTCCAAAAGTCTGTTCTGTACATCTGAGTCTCTTTTTCTGTTTTGCATATAGGGTTATTGTTACCATCTTTCTAAATTCCATATATATGTGTTAGTATACTGTAATGGTCTTTATCTTTCTGGCTTACTTCGCTCTGTATAATGGGCTCCAGTTTCATCCATCTCATTAGAACTGATTCAAATGAATTCTTTTTAATGGCTGAGTAATATTCCATGGTGTATATGTACCACAGCTTCCTCATCCATTCGTCTGCTGATGGGCATCTAGGTTGCTTCCATGGACAATTATTTCTGTATTGTCCATTTTGGTGAGTTTTGTGCCATACTGTGCAGTCTTGAAAGGTTCAAATAAGACCAAAGTACACAATTCCCCCTTTGAGTTCCCCTTCTCAACACTGTACCTGCACTTTTTGAGAATTACTGTTTCTCTTCCTTTATTTAACAAGGAACAAAAACCTTCCCTACAAGTGAGGCCATGCGTTTGAACCACGTCAATTAAACGTGACCTGGTGCAGTGGCGGACGTTGCTCCAGCCCACCTGACGTTTATGTCTGCCTGGTGCTCCAGGAGGAAGAGGGCGCTCTTGCTGTCCTGCCTCTGCATGGCCATGTGCAACAAGGTCTGCCCATCCGACATGGTGTCATTGATGCAAGCCCCAGAGCCCAGCAGCTGTGCTGCGATCGTGTGCATGCCTGCAAGAGAGACAAGCCCCAATTAATGCCGGCTCAGCTTCCCCCACTTCCTCAGCCTCTTACTACAACAAACACACCCTCTTGACTTCGCAAGGCCAGCAGTTTTCCATATTACTATAGGCTTAACCCAAACTGAAAGGCTAGTCTACACAAACAATTAGCTCCAACACTTCCGCCTCCCTCCCTCGCACACCCACCCTCTGGCACATGCCTGTCTGCAGCTGCTGACACCGCCTTACCAGTCCACAATGCCAGGCCCAGCACTGTCTGGTCTCGAGAATCCTTGAGACTGAAGTCCGGAATGATTTGCAAGTTGTTGGTGGCATGTAGAGCATTAGCTACATTTTTTTAAAAGGAAACAAACACCTGATTTCACCATCCCGTGGATCACATTGGAAGTACTCAAGAGAATGCAAGCTCAGTTTCAAACTGACTGACTGATCACTTCTATACAAAGAGAACTGACAGATCTTGTTGTGGGAAGTGGAAGCCAAGACGTTTGATAATTTGGAGCAAAGCTTATGAGGAAAATGAACGGTTGTAAAGGTTAAAACACTGGATGCTCACAAAAGGAAAACAGGCTCCACTATGGAAACACATTAATTTCTTGATTACCAAAAAGGGATCAAAACAATAAACTGGCAACATTTTTTTTTTAACACATAAGCCCTATCATCTTATACCTTCCGTGTGGGCAAAGGCGGCGGCAAAGCCTACCTAGCACCCCACTTCCTTCCACAAGCACAGTGCTGAAGGATGCTGGCCTTAACAAGGGTGCTGCTGCTGCTATTTAGTCATTAAGCTGTGTCTGACGCTTTTGTGACCCCATGGACTGTAGCCCAGCGGGCTCCTCTGTCCATGGGATTTCTCAGGCAAGAATACTGGAACGGGCTACCATTTCCTTCTCCAGGGGATATTTTCGACCCAGGGATTGAACCCTTGTCTCCTGCACTGACAGGTGGCTTCTTTACCACTGAGCCACCAGGGAAGCTCCAACAAGGATGCAGGCAAGAGTAAAACAAATTTCCGGGCAGGAAGGAAAAAAAACTGGAAAATGACATTCTGAGGGAAATCAGCCTCCCACATGGCAGGGGCTTCCTTGGCCCCCCCTTTCTGGCTCCTCTCATGGTTCACTTGCCAGGGAGACTCAGAGGTGGATGAGAAGGCTGACCGACTCGTGGAAGACCAGTGGTAGCAGAGTTCTCGGAGACAGTGCTGACGAGGCAAAGCTCTGCTTGACCTGCCCCTGAAGTAGGTCCTGGGAAAACCCCCCAAAATAAGAGAGGGGAAATACAAGGCTTTAACACCTTAACCACATAGGTGAAGTGGGCAGGCCCCATCCTACAAATGTACACAGGAAAAAACTGTAGCCAGAACCAGACTATACACTTATCTGATTGGACCTCAAAGGATTTTTCAACTAAGGAAACTCACCAATAGGAGAAACATCAACTGTGTCATTAACTACTCTAAACCACTGTTCGGAGGTCATGGTGATGGGCAGTAACCCCTATCTTTTGGGGACTAGGACCCCCAAATTCCTACCTTTTTGCTCCAGGATGACAGACACCACATCTGGATGATTATAGGCGATTGCCATGTGCAGGGGTGTCTGCAGGTAGACGCTGCTGTCCGCTGAGCTGGGCAGGGACGCAGCCTCCTTCGGGGACGGCAGGGCCTCCTCCGTCTGCAGGTTTGGGTTGGCCCCCTGCTGCAGCAGCTCTGCAGTGAGGTTGGCCAGGCCATGCCGACAGGCTGTGTGAAGCGGGGTTTCTCCCTGAACGGAAGCAAGTGGCCCTGGTCAGAGCACTTCAGGCTGGGAGCCCCTTTGCAAAGGGATGGAGACAGCTTGTGCGCTGTGACACAGGTCCCCAACGCCAGATGCAACCCCGGGCTCATCCTGTCACCAGTCCCATGACCTCTGTCCCACGTGCTCCTCAGGTCTCCTTTTCCTCCCCAACGCTGTGCCATCGTCCTAGATTCCTCCAATGTCCTCCCAGCACCCTCCAAACGCCCTGGATCCTCATCTTCTGCATTTCCACCCTTCACTTTGCTTTTATAATTATTTTGCTAATTATAAAAATAATACATGATTGTTATTAAAAAACTACCACAGATGACCTTCAAGCGTCACTAAAGTGGTGCTGTCTGTTGATCACCACACTAAGCCCTGCTTCTCTAACCAGTTCGTATCAACTTCACCTGGAACTCTGATGAAGAAAAGACCCTCTTCTCCCACTTTTTAAAAATTAGGAACATTTTCACATACAGGGACCTGATTCAATGTTCAAAAGGTATAAGAGAATACCGTGAAAAGAAGCTTCCCCTCATGCCTAGCCCCCATTACCCAGTTATCCTCCCCTGAAGGAAGCATCATTGCCAGTTTCATGTTTCTATCAGAAACATGACAAAATAGCCACAGGGAGACATAAACACACGTATATATGTGTGAATACAAATGCATGTACACATGGAGACACACGTGGGATTTTTCACCCAAATAAATAGGAACAACCATCAATACCCTGCTCTGCACCAGCTCCTACTGAAGCTACACATACTCATTAAACAAGTCGAGTCCAAGAACTTTACCTACTAGGCTTGCTGTGAAAGATAGCAAGAACCCACCTTCATTTTCCTAAAAAAGGAAATTTTCTTTTCCCAAAGGGAACCACTTTGAACTCTGAGCTGGGTAATTTCTTTGTAATTTCCTCATTTCTAGCTAATGACTTTTATTTCTGCCTCTTGATTTTCTGGGTCCTGGATTTCCGGTAGGTCCTACCACTGTGATCTCATTGGGTGACAAGGATTTGGCTCTTTCACTCCTTCCCTCCACCAGCCCCGGGAAGCCATTCTCCCCTCTCCCCATAGAGCCTCCTCCCCAGGGTGGCCTTCTGCTCCAGTCCTTCTCTGCCACACAGCCTCCCTGGATTCTCTTAGCTACCTCCATGGCTTCTACCAGGATCTATAAGCAGGAGATTCTCAAACCCAGCTCTCCAGTCCTGTGTGTACACCAAATTTTCCCACTGCTTACAGAATACTCCCACCTGAATGTTTAAAAAGGAGTTCAACAATCACAAAATGGAATTTGCCCTCCCCACAATTCCTCCCCTGGTCAGTTCCCTCCTTTTCTCAGGTCCAACAACTCTCCAACCCTTGCCTCTGAGAGCCACAGAGGTCCCATGGACCATCATGCTGCAGTTCCCCTTGAAACCCATCCTGTTGGGTCCAAATCCAGTATGAGAGGTTGGGATAAGCCATTGCTTGTCTAGATGATTCCCTCCTGGCTGCAGCCTGGACCTCCACTCTGCCAGCCAGAGGTGAGAAGGGAGACATTGTGGGCCTACAGGAGGATATTTTTAAAGTTTGAGAAGCAGCAGAGCATGTCTGTAGCTATTAGAAATGAACAGTGGGCAAAAGGGATGATACAGCAGAGAGACAGACAGAGGCAGAGACACATGATGGCAGAAACAAAACCAAAAAACCAGTCACTGGTGCCTACAGGCCATGCCATCATTCTAGCTGGAGAGCAGGCCAGCTGTGGGTTTAGGAGCAGACAGATCAGTAGGTTTAATGGTGAGGAAAAAACAGCACTGCCCTCTCCCCTGTGCTTCCATGACACGCTGGATTGTCTTCTACACCAAGCTTACTATTTACTGCCCTGCCCAGCACTGTTGAGAGAAGTGCAACTGCATGTCCTAGGGCCTACATCATAACACTGACTCCGTTACTGATAAAGTACCTAACTTATGGTTAAGCCACTTAACCTTCGAGAGTCTCAAGGCACTTGACTCTGAAATGAGGGATTTACAGATGGCGTTAATGTCTCTTCAATACATGACGCTTTTAGATCCACTGTGAAAACTGAAAGGGATAATAACCTTAAGGATCCTGGCACAAAGCAGTTATAAAATGACATGATCTTAAAGATGAGCACATCCTCTCTGTCTGAAAATTATAAAGTAAAAATAACTATCATGTAGTTTTCTAAAGTCCCAGATGCTACACTAATAAGCCCTTAAATTTCTTTCTTTTTATCTTATATTAAAGAAATAAATTTATTTCTTTTTATCATATATTAAAGTATGATCTTTAATCATATTTTCTGAAATCAATACTAAGCTCACTTTATAGATGAGAACTGAAGCTCAGAAAGGTTAAGCAATTTGCCTGAGACCACATACAGCAGAATGGGAAGTGGGACATCTGGTAAAGCCAGAAATGTCCGACTCATTTCACCACCCTTGAACCCTGCGACATCTGCCTTAGTGTGAGACACAGACTAAATAAACATACACACAGGAAAACCTTCAGTTCAGTCGCTCAGTCGTGTCTGACTCTTTGTGACCCCATGGACTGCAGCACGCCAGTTTTCCCTGTACATCACCAACTCGCATCCATCCATTTTGCATTTGCTAAGGAAAACCTGAAAACCTTAGCAAATGCAAAATGTTATAAAAAATTAAGATGCTAACATGGTAGGTTTGTGTCCATATCTGCTGATCTATAGTAGCCGTGAAGTCCACAGTGTATTGTTTAGGGCCTGATGTCACAAATGCTTAAGAAGTGGTTGCTGAATGAATCAACCAACCGATATTTGAGGATAAAGGCATTTGATACACACTAGTTTTTTAACAATGTCCACGTATTCTTTTTTTTTTTTTAACAAACATTGAAGAGACTCTAATCTGTTTTTTTCTACCTATCAGCCACTGCCATTTCCTCCACAGACCAAAGCTGCTTTGCCTGGCTGCCCTGTCACACTTACCCACTTGTTCCTGTGGTTGACATGGGCACCATTGGTTGCCAGGAAAAGAGCTGCTGCCTCATTTCCTGCTTCGGCTGCCCGCTGTAGTAAGCAATTTCCTAGGAGAAAATGGGCATATTCATTCTTCCATTTGCATAAAAATTAAGTCAAGTTCACATTGCAACACACCCTGCCTTCCCCCCCACCTTTCACAGCTGACACGCTCACACCGGAAGTGGGTACCACTTAAGTCCACACAGGTCCTCTCTGTATGTGGACACACAGACTAAGATGAGCCCGAGTGGGGAGCAAACACTTGGTCTGGAAGTCAGAAGACAGGCACCCCTCCCTGGATTTGCCACTAGCCACCACCCGGGACCAGAGGGAAGTTACATCTCCTTACTGGGGTTGGTAAGAACATTTCTCAGCAGCAGTGCTACTGACATCTCGGGCCAGCTAATTCTTTGCTGTGAGGAACTGTCCTGTACATGGTGTGATGTTTAGAAGTATCCCTGGCTTCTGCCCACGAGGTACCAGTAGCCCCCTCAACGTTACTGTGACAATCAAAACTGCCAACAGGTGCTGCCAAATGTTGCTTGGGCAGTGAGGGCTGGGAAGTCATCTCTGAGAACCTCTGGGGTAGATAACCATTCTGAAGACACTGAGCTGAAGTTCTATCAGAAAATGCTCCTTAAACACTTGTCTTACTCCTATAGCTTTAAATATGTTTATTCTTGGCCTAGAAATGTTTTAGTTAGCACTGCTTTCTAAATAAAAATCTTAGAAAAAAAATCAATTTTTTTTTCTTCATTTCCTCTTGAAAGTGGTTTTGGTCCCAGAACACTGCTGTCTCTTTCTATTAAAATCTATGCCCTTTTTGGATAAACACAAAGTCTCATGTTCCACAGCTATGTTATTTGAAAAGTCAAATTAAATACCAGTACTAAAAACAAGGTAAAGCAATGAGACAAAATATTGCTATGTTATTACACGTATGTGAAAACTGCAACAAGGAAAAAATAATATTCCTGAACTTCTATTAAAACTCAAAGTATATAATGTAAAGTTGACGGAACCGACAAGAAAAATTAACAATCTCGCCTGCAGCACAGTGTGGCCAAAAATAAATGAATTAAATAAAATTCTATGTGACAAATAAGAAGTATGCATAAAGTATGTTACAACAGCTGTCATAAAGGAAAGCCACTGTTTTAACTGCAAACTGAACTAACAGTTTTTTTTCACGAAGCACCATTTTTACTTGAGAGAATGACAACTAATAAGCTATGGTTATTCAAAAATGAGTATCGAGTAGACATATTCTTAAAAAGTGAGCCTCTTTAAGAAAAATAACTGGCAATATCCCTACCAAATAATAAAATATGATCTTACAAGTGAAAACTGAAACTTTGGAAAACTTCTGTCTGCCACTGTAAGTTTAACAGCTCCTCAATACTGAAAGACTTTTCTAATGAGGTTGCTAGTGATATTAACAAATGTGATTCTAAATAAATGATCATTTTGAACATCTCCATAAACCAGTAACACAAGATTTTCCAAACCACTAAGGCATGATGTTACAAAATCATGTACAGAGGAAAGATCCATTCAAAGCACATACAGACCATGGATTTTAATATAAGAGTACAAAAAGTTCATTGATATAGCTTCAGATTCCATACTGCAACTAACTTTAAAAAAATTATCCCTTGATAAATTCTGTTTGCTATAGTATCAAACAAATACATCCACAATTATCTGAAAAGGCTCTTAAAATATGCCTTGCTTTTCCCACTACTAAGTGTGTGAGGGCATATTTTTTTTAACCAAACAATGTATCTCATAAGACTGAATATAGTTGTAAATATTAGAAACCAGATCACTCTTCCAAATAAATTTTGTTTTGAAAGTTATTTTTCATAAAAAATGTTATACGTTAACATAAAATGGTTTGTTATTATTATTAATACATCTTTTAAAAATTTCTCAGTTTAAATTTCTAATATGGTAAATACCAAAGATATCCACTTAAACAAAAGCCCCTTGGGACATAATTTTTAAGAGGGTAAAGGGTAAAAAGAGTTCTGAGTCCAGAAAGACTGAATCTCACTGCATTAAACAAACAGAAGTGTTTCAGCTTAACAGACTTAACTTAGAGTCTGGCTAAATTTTTTGAAGCCCAAGATCAGACTTTTTACTACAGTTAAAATTAAATACAAAATAATTCTCATAACAGCATTCCTCTTAGTTTCTAAAGTTTTGGTAAAAACACTGACAAGTATTTCATGGAGTCTCAGACTTGAGCATCAGCTCTCAGGGGTCTGCTGTGCTTTACCTGTCACTGTATCAGGTGCATTGGTGTTGCTGCCGCGCTGAATGAGCCTGGCTGCAAAGCTGTTTTCATCAAATGAAGTCCCGTTCACCACAGGGAGGTCTTCGAAGGGGTTTACGGACTGGTCGGAAGACACAGTGATGTACTGCACGGCAAGCCACAGAGCTGTGCTGCCCGTGTGGTCTTTCAGCTCTAAATCTAACCTGAAACGAGGAAGCGACGTGAGCACCAAGGACCACTGTCTTCAGACGCTTTGTACTGTCAACAGTCTCATTCTGAAGGACATTCTTTTACTCTTACTTCTTAAAATTGATAATGCTAAAAGACGTTTGGAGAGCATTATCTTTCACTCATGATCCCACCCTCCCAAAAGCTCTTTCATTGCTCCACGGCTGCCTACGTACTGTTTACACTGCAGCAGCTGATTGAACACGTATTCATTCCTGGCCATGATGGACAAGTGTAAGGGAGTCCTGTGGGATGAAGAAGAAGAGGTGTCAATTCTGGACATGCCCAGTTCAGGACTATTCACAGCAGGAGGTGATTAGAATCCACAGGAAATTCCACATTTCTGCCACAGTCTTTTTCCACCCTGGCAAACAATTTTCCAAAGCCATGACCAAGAATCAAAGGATGAAAATGGATTTGATTATATGTTACAATTTATTCAGTAGCCAAAAATACAAGAATCAATGAAAGGAAAAGATATAAAAAATACTGACTCAATGAATGTGTATATACTCATGTTTTTAAAACAGTAGTTTCTGCCATAGGTACGCCTACTTTCACCTACCTATCCTCCACTATTTTGAAATTTTTTTTCTTCCCATACTTCTCTGTTAGACTCAAACACATTCTGAGTGGCAACAGGCAGGAACTGACTAAAATGGCATTTTTCACTTGTCACTGCTTTTATTTAGCCCTCATGTGCCCTGAGGAAGACGCCACCACAGAGCACAGAGACTCCCAGGCTGGCATCTATCTCAGAGCTACAGAACACCACAGTTTACTGCAGCTGGGAGGAAAAAAATTAAGGACAATCACCAGAAGGAGCAAAAAAAAAAAAAAAAAGGATGCAATTATCTTGAGAAATGAGATAATTATGACTTTATATTGAGTCCATGGAGAACCATCTTATAAGTACCTTAGCCATCACACAAATCCATTTTCCTATTCCAGCGACCTCACGGTTACTTTTTGAGAGGGTTTTTTGAAGGTATAAAATACTGAGCTGCTAGGATAAAAATTGGGTCCTCTATTGTTGGTGATTCAGGTGGCTTAACTCCCCTTCAATGCCTCCCACACTACTGTTCCAAAGACAAGCAACCCTTTCTCAGATTTTAATGTATAAGGAATCCTCAGTCGAATATTTCTGGGAAGGGACAAAAGGAACATGACACAACTGTCAGTGTGGAAAGGGAAGTGCTGCGGAAGATAGCAAATTAAACATGTAGAGATGTCTGAAGTGGCATTTACAAGAAGGTGGAACTGGGACTAACACAACAATTAAACCTCACAGAAATAAAACTGATTACTTTGCGACAGTGTACTCTTCTTCAAAGTAATCTATTAGCTCTAAAAAAAAATGAGGGAAGAAAGTTCCCTGGAGGAGATGGACTGGATGACCACTCTGGAGATGCCGGACACTGCTTAAAAACCCAAGGGCCGCAGTTACTCAAGAGGGAAACAGCTTCCCCATGTGCCTCCGGCCTTAGTTGTCTCTCATTTGCAAAACCAATCAATGTTTGTGACTTCAATAGAATTCAGAGTGAATAATGCTGGACTAAAAATCACTAAGTCTCCACCTGCCAGTAATGTGCCACCAGAAAATAACACTCTGGGAACTGTGCTCAGGGCAGCCAACCTGCGCCCCAGCTTACCGGCCCTTGCTGTCCTGCATGTTGGGGTTCGCGCCAGCCTGCAGCAGGGCCTCTGTGAGCTGTGCCATCTCGGACATCACAGCTGCTGAGTGTTTCTTTGAATTGTACGATGCAACGAGGTGCAATGGTGTCTCCTGGGCACCCAATGTGGCAGCATTGACCAAGGCCCCATTCTTAATGAGGAAAGTGGCAGCAAAGAGATCTCCTTGAAAGGAAACAAGAAATGGTCACAAATGACAACAGCCAGGGCGAGCTATCCTGACCAGTGCTTCCTCAAAGGTAACGGTCAGTAAGTGTAGACAGAGAAGATCTCATCATTGAGATCATGGACTTAAAACATACTCGAATTCAGCCACCGATTACCTGCTGTCATCTATCCCAACCCCTCGCTTCAGTATCACATTACAATCTTAAGTATACCAGGCTTCTATCCTTCAAATTCTTCTTCTGGTCATCAGCTCTCATATAGGGTTCCAAAGACTCCTCCCCAATACAATTTACCTCCCTCTCTCATTCCTGACCACAGTCTGTCCCTAAGCAGTACCTGCCTGCCTCTAACCTGTTATACTTGCAATAGCTCTTACAAAGGCATTTATGAGGAGTTTTCTTTTATATCTTGCAATATCATTTCATCTTCTTTGACCACACTTCTGTGCTCTGAACTTTGAGAAGGGGGTTAGGATTTCAGGAGTGGCCAAGCTCTTAAGTCTGTTATCTGGATTCCTGTGCTCATTTGCATCTGAATAATATGAGTTTTATCTAGTCTTCTTAAACATGGAATTTCAAAATCAATTGGAATTTCTCACCCACTCTATTCCTTCTTCCAAGGGACTACCTTGCTGCTGGAGTTGTGTAAGCTCTGGCAGTGAGGATGGCTAGGCTACCACAGGCCCCACGGATTCTGGTAGGACCAGGTCTGATTTCCTTTCTTTTTTTTATAGTTTTTTAAAAAAACTTTTTGGCTGTGCTGGGTCTTCATTACTCGCGGGCTTTTCTCCAGTTGTGGTGAGCACCGCTTGGCTTCTCATTGCAGTGGCGTCTCTTGTTGCGAAGCATGGGCTCTAGGGCATGCAGGCTCCGGCGGTTTCAGCACAAGGGCTGAGCAGCTGCGGCTCCCAGGCTCTAGAGCACAGGCTCAAAGTCGTGACGTGTGGGCTCAGCTGCTCTGCAGCACACAGGATCTCTCCGGACTGGGATCAAACCCGTGTCTCCTACAACAGCAGGTGGATTCTTTACCCCGGAGCCACCAGGGAAACCCTGATTTATTTTTGTATCCATCCACTGTCTCATACGTAACAGACATCAGGTAAATGTTTGGGAGGAAAATGGATTAACAGGTTGAGGCTATAAGGTTCCACATTAACCGAATGGCTCCAATTCCAATCAGTTATGATCTCGGGTAACTGAAGAGTGCTCTAACCGGCCAATCCTGAAATATTTTCATTCTTCTGTCCCTGATTCTTTTCTTGGGGAGGGCAGGGGAAAATGCAATCTTTACCAGAATTGTGTGCAAAGGACCAAATCTTAGATTTCTTTACAAAAAAATGTCGGTGGAGCTCTGAAAGCAACAGGTAACATGTATATCTGGGGACTAGGCTGGGTCACCCTTTGCTGTCCATATGCACATGGACATATTGGGGTTTTCATTTGTAGTATGGACAAAGCCCACAGAGATTCAGTCTAGGAGAGAATATATAAAAACTATACATCAGCAACAGAATAAGATATCTTAGAGAAAGCCACCTACATTCTGGAAGTGGAAAGAAAATTTAGAATTATGAGGACAGAGAGCCTTAAAATGACAAGCCTGATAAATAATGTACTGGAGGAGAGGTAAAATATGGTTTCATTACCTTTAAGCTTGGCATATATTCCAAACTAAACAGTTAACAGACAGTAAAGCTAAAGTAAGATGTGTCAGTGAGACACTTATAACACACTATACACACAGAAGAATAACTGGGGCAAGACTGCATATAGAAACAAGGGTACAGCATCAATGGCTGGATTCAGGTGGATGGCATAATAAATTTTTTTATATATCTTAAGCCCTTTTAAAAAGAATCATAGTTTTTAGATTAGATTTACTCTATTAACAAGAGCCAAATTTTTTTTTTTAAGTTTATACATATATCAAAGTGAAGTCATTCAGTCGTGTCCAGCTCTTTGCGACCCCATGAACTATAGCCTACCAGGCTTCTCCATCCATGGTATTTTCCAGGCAAGAGTACCGGAGTGGGTTTCCATTTCCTGCTCCAGGGGATCTTCCTGACCCAGCGATCGAATCTGGGTCTCCCGCATTGCTGGCAGATGCTCTACCCTGAGCCACCAGAGAAGCCCTTATACATATATACATACATACAATATATGCACCCCACACAAAGAATTATTTAGGAATTATTGGAAACTGAAAATTGACACTGTTTTGCACTAACAGAAAGTCAGCCCATGGATATAAAATCAAGAGGAAATAGACAACTGACATCAAAAAAGCAGAACAAAGGGAGGGAACAGAAAATGCCCAAAGCACCATTTATAAAGTTTTTTGACAGTAAGAAAACCTCTAATAGATTTTAGAACAGTTTCCTTCAGAAAATCGTTAAGAAAAAAATTGCTTGGTGCTTAACAGTTCTGGTTACTTCATCACTTCACTCCTCAACACTGCCAAGGAAATTAGGCATTACTATAATGACTTGTCCATATAAAAGTATTCCTAACAATGCAGTTAATGTTTTTAAAAAAATCCACACACAATTTTTTATTTCAATGAAGCTAACTGAAGTTCCATTCAGGAACCAGGCAGTAACTTTCATTAAATTAAATAATTACATTTCATAAATTAAATAAATCCAGTGGCTTAAAGCAATACAAATTTATTATCTTGCAGTTTTATAGGTTGAAAGTCTGGTATAGACACACCCCATCTAAAAGTTTTTCTGCTGTCAAAAACTTTATAAATAGTGCTTTGGGCATTTTCTGTTCCCTCCCTTTGTTCTGCTTTTTTGATGTCAGTTGTCTATTTCCTTTGGGTTTTATATCCATGGGCTGACTTTCTGTTAGTGTAAAACACTGTCAATTTTCAGTTTCCAAAACTTCCTAAGTAACTTTTTAGGTGGGGTGCATATACTGCATGTATGCATATATGTATAAGCTTTAAAAAAAAATTGGCTCTCATAAGTAAATCTAATCTAAAAACCGTGATTCTTTTTAAAAGGGCTTAAGATATAAAAAAATTTTTATTATGCTACCCATCTGAATCCAACCAGTGATGCTGTACCCTTGTTTCTGTGTAATTAAAACTAAAAGCTGCATCTCGTGCTGCTCCAATTTGTAGGATCATCTACAAACCGATACGAGCAATTAGACAGGAGCACGCTGCTTAAGAGGCCCACTGATGATGCCAATGATCAAGGAAAATAAGCACAAGAAGAATGCTTTTAAAGAGCAAGGATGTGAGACTTCCCCAGCGATTCAGTGGTTAAGACTTGGGCTTTCACTGCTGTGGACCCGAATTTGAACCCTGATCTGGGAACTAAGGTCCCACAACCTGTGTGGTATGGTCAAAAAAAAGAGAGAACAGGGCAAGTATTCATCTTCTTGCCCAGATCCAGCTAATCAGAGGAGTTAGTGTCTCTCTGGTCACATGAACATCCCCTGTAGGCTCACTCACAGACTCATTTTTTCTTTTTTATAACAATCTCCCTCTTTCACAGAAACATTCTTGACAGAAACTGACCGATACACTTGGTTATTAGGATGATCATTGACTCTTCTGGTGAGAGATTCTAATGTGTGCCCACAACCAGACCAAAATCTCATGCGTTAAAGAGCTTCACTTATATGATAATCAACTTAAAGTAAGGTTAACAGTCAAATTTTAAGTATATTACTCAATTCAACCATATGGGCAGGTCAACAGTCCGACAGCTCAAGCTGAAGAAGGAAAAGTGAAAAAAGATCCCTACAGAAAATGAAGTTGGTTATGGCATTTCACTCAGGGCAAGGGAAGAGACTACCCCATGGCAGTCACTGGGTTGAGTGTGTTATTGTCTTGCAGTCTCCCAACAACCAGTAAAGCAAAATAATTCTCACTTTACAGGTGAGGAAAAGGAGACTCAGGAATGGTTATGTGATTTGTCCAAGACCACAGAATAAGTGGACAAGCCAGGATTCAGACTGTGGTACCTCAGGCTCCAACACCAGTGCTCTGTCCTCCACACCATGCCACGCTCTGCCAACTGAGCAACAGTCAAGCTTATTATGCCCAAACTGCAATCCCCATGCTTGCAAACAACTAATAAATTCAGAGAGGAAGACTGAATCATCTGAAAATAAACATCAAAAATGCATCACCAATTCTTGGCAATTCTCGTAACCAAGCAATCATCAAAATATTTAATAACTCATCAAAGATGTTTTTTCATCACATATAAGAATTTAAGTCCCTAAGAGGAAATTCTGATACATGATTCTGAGATTGTTTTTTTAGTAACAAGTGTATCTGTTTCCAAAATAAACATCTCAGACACTGAACAGTATGGGAAAGAATAGTTCCCAATGCAGTGGAAACTTTTCCCACTAAACACACACTCAGTGCTAAGCACCCAGTGGCTTTGTGCAGTGCGGAGGGATGCCTGAGAAAAAGGCATCTGCTCTTTTTTTTTTTTTTAGGCATCTGCTCTTGACACTCACATACTCTAAGGATTTCCTTCTCAATGATGAACAAAATTTTCCTCTTCATCAGCCAGCACGTTTAACAGTCTAACACATGACTTAGAGGGAGATTTATATTAAAACTTTTGCCCAAAAAGGGCAAAGCCACAGCTGCAACAGGACCATATTTGAAGTAATTACACCCTACCAGCTAGGAGCAACTTGTGAATGGCAAAAGTGCAGCAGAGGTAATAATAGAATAATAGTGCACAACTGGAAAGTTAAATACACATTATTAAGATGTGGAGAAACCAGTGTGTCCTGTTTTTGATGTCCACATGTAAACAAAATGTGGCCATGGCCAAGTACTTCAGTCAAGTCATCCATCCCTCTACAAAATGAAGGCTCTGGGTCATCTGAAAGCTTCCAGGCCATATTTGAACTCCTACCCCTATATGGCTTCTCACTCTGTCAAAAAAAAGGACTACTGCAGGGGCTTCCCTGGCAGTCCAGTGGTTAGGACTCTGTGCTGCCAATTCAAGGGATGTGAGTTCGATCCCTGGTTGGGGAACTAAGATTCCACATGCTGTGTAGCAGGGCCAACAAAAAAAGACTACTGCAAAGTAGAGTCAGGCTGGATCCATTTGGGACTTAAGAATTAAGGCCATGGGAAAAACAAAAGACTAGTACTTTTCCCCCTTTAATTTAATAAGATGAAAATGCTTTGATTGTAATTCTGCCACTTAAATAACTTCCCACTATTAATGACCATGTACTCAAATAGAGCTACAATTTCAAATAACTCTCCTAGAACAAAATGAAATGTTACCACTTTGCCATGCTAGATGAGAAATCCAGTTTGTAAAAGTGAAAATGCTGAATCCCAAAATAGGTTTTAATATTTGTGTTCCTGGAATCTTCCTTCTCTTGCAGTAACCGATACCAGTAAAGTCTTTCTGGCACAATTTCTGAAGAAAGTAATGTACTGGATGAGCAAGTAACACATTGACTGCTTACAAGTAAAAGGTGCTTTTTTTTCTCTAAGTACCATCTCTCTAACTTTCTTCTGGGGGTCCTGATGACACTCTGAAGAACCTAACCAACAAGGCATGAGGCAAAAGCTCTTCAGTCTCTCCTGTGACCCACTGATCACAAATTCTAAGTCTGCTACCTGCCAAGTACAGACTCAAGAAGACTTTGAGAGTCTAGGGAATAGCGTCAGAGCGTCTTTGAAAGTTACTTGGATGAAAGTAAAACTGCCCGCAGAGAAAAATATAAAATACATTTCTTCCTACCTCTTTGAATTCCTTTATGTAACAAGCTCCAGCCGTTCTTGTCCACCATGTCCACGTCAGCTTTGTGATTAACCAGCGTGGTGGCGATACTCTCCAGCCGTCGGGAAAGGGCTAGATCTAATGCAAGGTCTCCGTTATGATCCAACTCATTCAGTTTTCCAGGGAGCTGCAGAGAGAAATTCCTACATCAGCACACATTCAGTAGAGGAGACAACTGACTCTCAGACCCTGACTTTTCAATATCATCTCATACAATATCAGATTTTAGTCCTATAACTTACTATAGCTTACTCTCCAAATTCAACTGAATTCACAAACTTCTCTCGGGCCTCCTCAGGGCACATGCTTTTCCAGGAGCCCAGGACTACCAGGGATCACAGAGCAGGTGCAAACACCATGGAAGATGACACAAGAGGGACATGCAGACGATGCTGCGGGAACACAAGTGCCAGGATGGAGGGTCAGACAGCCTGATGAGACCCAGCTCACATCTTCATGAAAGACTGTGGCTTAACTACCTAATTCCTCCTGGCAGTTTAAGGTCTCCCCCTACTCTGGACACCCAGGAGAAAACACACGACACAGCCACCTGTCTAGAGCAGCTCCATTTCCCCTAAGGCAATGCAGTGAGCAGAAGGACCGTTCCCAAATATGTCCATGTCCTAATCCCTAGAACCCATGACTATGTCACCTCACATAATGAAAGGCCCTCTGCAAATGTGATTAAGGTTAACAACCCTGTAATGGGGAGAGGACCCTGGACCTGCAAGGAGGGCCCAATCTATCTACTCATGTGAGTCCTTAATAAAGAAAGAGGGAAGCAGAAGAGTAGATCAGACAGACATGACATGAGAAAGACTGTATCCGACACGTAGGCTTTCAAGAGGGAGGAAAGGGGCCATGGGTGAAGGAATGTGCTGGCCGCTAGAAGCCGAGAATGGCCCTGACTCAGCGCACAGCCAGGAAAAAAATGTGGATGCTGGTCCTATAGTCACCAGAAACTGAATTCTGCCAACACCCATGCAAGCAGGCTTCCCTATAGCCACCAGGAAGGAACACAGCCTGCCAACAAACGGACTTCCAACCTATAAAACCACAAGATAATAAATTTGCATTGTTTTAAGCCACGGGGTTTGTGGTAAATTTTCAAAAAATATTTATTTATTCATTTGGCTGCTCTGTGTCTTAGTTGTGGTACACAGGATCTTCAGTCACGACACGCAGACACTTAATTTGGCATGTGGGATCTACTTCCCTGAGCAGAGATTGAACCCAGGCCCCCTGCATTGGGAGCACAGAGTCTTAAATCACTTGGCCACCAGGGAAATCCGGCTTGTAGTAATTTCTTTTGTGTGTGTGTGTGTGTGTGTGTTTATTTATTTTTGTGGTAATTTCTAACAGTGGCAAAAGAAAAACTAAAACAGGCATTAATTAGTACCTGAAAGTTAAATACTGCTGAAATGACTACCTAAAAATGTGGAAGTGTCTTTGGAAGTGGGTGACGGGCAGAGGCTGGAAGAATGTTATGAAGTATGAGGGGAAAAGCTCAGGTGGCTTCGAACAAACCACTAGTAGAAACATGTACATTAAAGACCATGAATGGCTCAGAGGAAGTGAGGAGCATTACAGAGAAGAAAAGTGAAGTGCAGTTTGGGAAAAAGGCAGAGTACCTGTGAGTCCATTTCAATCAGATAAAGAAAGACCACGTCTTCTCTCTCTACTTTGATAGCTTTATGTAATGGGTACTCGGTCTTGGACTTGATCATTTTGTATAACAACTGAGCACTCATGCTGCTGAAGTCCTCCTTCCGTAAGTCATCCTGCAGATAAAAAAGACAGTGAAAAGCAGAACTGATTCAACATATCAACAATAATGACAATGCACGTTTCTTAGGAAGCACTTGGAAAGTGTCTGGCGCAACTTAAACATTTCCCAGCTCATTGAATTCTCACAAAAACCCTGAGGTAGGTACTCTTATTATCCTCATTCACAGATGATGAAAGTAAAGCAAAAAGAGGCCGATTAACTTGCCCAGGTTCACACAGAGAGTGAACAGCTGAGTGGGGATCTGGAGCCAAGAGCCCACCCCATTCCCCGTCCCCACCCCTCTCCTGAGCGTGGATTCTTCACCACAGCACCGCTCAGCCTCCGGGTAGGATGGTGCAGCACGAGCGACACTGACAGCCCACAGGACACAGCCACAGGAGCCCTCCACGTGAGAACAGACTCCTCCCCCGCCAGCCCCACAAAGACGACAACAGAATTAATCAGAACTTCCACAAACAATTCATCGGTTTCTACTGTTGCAGATCTCTAAACCTCTGCCTATTTTAGCAGAAAGGTTCCTGTTTCAATTCTTCAAAATCCAGTTAAGACACGTTTTCTTATAGTGTTGCTGAATACCAAACAATCTGCAAAAACTAGGTTATAAAACAGCACTAGCCATGATTTTCTTTAAAAATGCAAAACAGACAACCAAGAACTGCAAAACCTCTTCTTTATGATGAAAGCTACCTAAGGGAGCAGATCTAATTTAACAATGCCCTCCAGACACCAAGGAGGCAGAGAAAGCCCAGAGGGGGCACTGCTGAGCACACAGGCCTGCTGGCCCCACAGAAGCACCTGCTTGTGAGGCACGGCCACGGCTCTTGCAGATGGAGGACAAGGCAGGTGTGTGTCCCTTCGTTCCAAGCCTGCTTCTTGGCCTAGGCTATCTTCTGCCCCTCGACTCCGACATCAGAACTAGGAGGCCTTTAGAGCCAAAAAGAATCTCACAGATCATCTAACACAACTACTTAGCCTTCAATTTTGTTATAAGAGGAAACAAGGGGCCAGAGAGGTAACTTTCTGTGGAACCAGGTCCCACACCCTCGTCTCCTGACTTCCAGCAAAGGTGCTTTTTTCCCCACACGCCTCAGCCTCACACTTACCCAGTGACTTGCAATAATTTCTGCACAGTAGTTCATCAATGTGCTGGCATTCAGCTCCTCCGCAGTCTGATAGAAGCGAATACAGTTCCTGACGTTCACCAGAGACATCACACCCTTCTCACATCTACAAGAGAGTATCAGTGATCAACAGGATTGTTAGGATCAATATATTCATAAATGAACAAACCAAAGCAACAATCTGTGTACTGGCTGGCTATGTCCAATAACACTAAAGTGTAAGGTTTAAGCAATACAGCTATGAGTAAACTGCAGCTGAGTTACTCTAAGTACCAGAATTTCATTATTGTATTGCTCATTCTGGTCAGAATCCAAATAATCTTTAAATAAACATGTTAAGCATAACACCCCAACTGCCTTCAAAGTAACCACATGAAACTCACTGATCATACACACAGGTGATTGTAATGTCAAACATGAAATGCATCAAATTCAGTCCTTCAATATTTAATTGTATGGGACACACTTGCTCTTCCCACTAGCACAACTCTATCATGCCACAAGTGTGGCTTAGAAATAGCTTCAAATATAAGGCTCCATGCCTCAAAAAGAATACCTCCTTAAAAGTCTTACCATATGGTGATCTATATGGTATGTGAATCAAAACTCAATAAAGCTGACTTTAGAAAGCCCACTTTAAAAATCTATCATGTATAGAAATGACTGAGTTAAGAGACAAACTACAGAACACCAAGATAGAGAAGAATTGGCTACAACGGTGTCCCACAGTGCCTGGTAACAGCAACAATAACAATATTCTGAGAATCATTAACAAGAGAGCCCCAACTAGGTCAGGGAAGACAGGGCTGCACACAGGTCTCTGGTAGCACAAAGCAGGCACACATCCTAGACTACAAGATGCGGAACAGGGAAGCCCCAAGTTTCTACTAGGATTTCCAGAAACCTTGGTGAGCCTCCACAGCACCAGGCCTGGGAGGAAGGAGGCGGTGACACAGTCCTCCCACCTCCCTTGCCTGCACATCTCCCTACAAGTCAAGTTCATGTCCAAGGACATCCAAGAGGCCTCACATGGTCTCAGGGAATACCCCGACATCCCACTGCTGCTTCTGTCCCACAGTGCCCACAAAAACCAAGTTCTCATCACGAGGGAAGGTAGTGACAGACACAAAGTGAATCATCAGGTCAGTAAGAAAGACCAACGCTGAAGGGCCCAACTACACGGGCTCCCTGTGCCCTCCTCTCCTCCTCGGTGAAAAAAGGATAATGCTCTCTTTCAGAGGTCCAAAGGATCTGTGAGTGTTTTTCAAGATAAAGGAAAACCATGTACAATTTGCAGTCTGAGGTACATAGTAGGTATGCTTGCTTACTAGTTGAGGTCTTCCTCAAGGAATTTGCATAATTTAATAACTAATACAAAAGAGATTCAGTCCTACTGTAAATAAGAATAACTGGCTAACGGATAACTCCCAACTTTAACAGGTGAGGTGTGAATACCAAGAGGACAGGGGGAGACGGGGGAAGAAAGGAGGAAAGTCATGAGATAGACCTGAGAAGGAAGAGGAACAAATTTTCTAAACCTCACAAATGAGACTTCAGCCAGGAGCAAGAATAATCTTGCAGCCATTTCTTCACCTAGCAGTAAATGAACACACTCATTTAATTCCAAGACCTGTGCTTATGGGCTCTGTTTTTAAGCAACATAGCTTGGTGTAAAGAAGCACCTCCCCCAGGGCACTTTTAAATCAAATTGGCACCATATCTAAGTAAGTCACTACAATAATGAGTAAGGATGCTCTACTTCTGAGCCTTTGCTGTCTACACACTAGTCTCCCCAAACTCTAGCATGCTGGCTGCAATGTCTGGTGAAGTCATTCTGACCCTGGCTACGAAATCAGAGCATTCCAGGAGAAATGTCCTCTTTTCGGATATGTGAAACTTTTACCGCCTTTACACTGACAAATATCCTAATGTCCTAAAACACGGTGTGATCTCAGGGAGTACCAACTCATCTGCAGAGCACTTCATAAAGCATTTTTATAGACAAATGCTGAGTGTGAAAATGCCATTCTCTTCCTCACTACCACCAAGAGACACTGCACCAAGACACTCGATGCTTCATGAGGACAGATGTTTTGTTTCAACTAGCAGTCACTTCATTTTCACTAAACTCTGGGATCCCCAGAGTGCCATTCACAATGTGGATAGCCTATAAATAGTCACTGGCATGACTTAAACAACTGAAGAACATGTAATCATATTTAAAAATTCAGATTTTCAGTTCACATCTTCTCTTTGAAAAGCAGCAAGGCACACTGACTTTTCTCTAAAGGGATGTTTGTTGCTGTTAATACATGTTTTTCATTTTAGAGTATAAAAAAATACAGATGCACAAAACAGTACACCTAATTTTTAAAGTCAAGAGTATGCTTAAGCGTCCCACAAATTCCTGTCCAGTTTTATGTCATCTGTGCCTCTGAATATAAGGCAGAAAAATTACTGAAGAGATAAACAAAAAAAGGTTAATGGTGGTTAAATCACAGATGATTTACTTTTGTTATTTATATAATTCTATACTTCCTAAATACCACATACTGAACATGTAGTTAATAATCAGGAAAAAAAATTATTTAAACTGTCAGTTGTTAGCATACACTATTAATTATCTTTTTTTAAGTGTATTTTCCTGATAATGCTGACACCCAAAACTTCCTTTTCCCTTTTCATCAACCTGGTGACCGCATTCCCAAACCAAGATCCCTACATGATAAACATCAGCAACACCTGCTTCACATTTAACTGCACACATCCATGTGTCAGAGCCCTTTCACTTACTATTTCAAATGTGTAATTCCTTCTGCAAACAGCAGTGGGCACTCTGTGATCGTTCAAAAGCCGACATTTGACTCCACGGCTGGGTCTCTTTCATCCCAGCCCTTAACAAAGCCTTGACAGATAAACTTAATACCCACATGCAATAATAAAACACTGAGCATCTGGTAATGTTGATAGTTATGAAGCCTAATCAGTTAATAAACAATAAACACTTTAATTAAAGAATCCATTACACAGATTACAGCTATCTAAACTACTTTAACTACAGGGCACTTAAAGCAATTCAATTTATAAGCAAGAAAATCAATCTGAGAAAGCTCAGGAAATGTGTGTGGGGGGGAGGGGTAGATATCAATCACATTCAGTCTAATTAAAATCACGCTCTGATTTCACTCTGAGATGATTCAAAAACTCACCCAAAGAAAGATCTTTACTGTAAAGCTATCCTGGCTAACCTAATACTATATGTGCCTACAAATCCTAGACCTGGTTTGGTTTTTAGGTTATTGAATTTAGGTATTAATATGGCCTCACGCCCACATCAATCACAGATAATCAGGAGTAAGCTGTGTACTGACTCATGTGGGGCACAGTGGGCCATCTCAGGGGAAATAGCCAGCCTCAATGCAAACAGAACAAGCGGCTCTAGGTAGCCATGTCTCTCTTGACTCTGATGCTGTGGCTATTTAGTTGCTATGTCATGTCCGACTCTATGCAACCCCATGGACTGTAGCCCTCCAGGCTCCTCTGCTCATGGATTTCCCAGGCAAGAGTACTGGAGTGGCTTGTCATTTCCTTCCCCAGGGGATCTTCCAGACCCCAGGATCAAACCTGAGTCTCCTGCTTGGCAGGCGGATTCTTTACCACTGAACCACGAGGGAAGCCCTCTTGACGCTGAGGGCAACACAGCAGATGGAATGCTCTCTCTCCACCCACCCAGGAGAAACGCCATTCCTTCACACACAGAGATCACAAAAGATCACTAAGTGATGTAAAAGCACTCCTTCTAACAAGCTGACTTGCAAGGGCTAAATCACCAACAAAAAATAAGAGTATTTTGTCTGCTATCACCTGGTAAACAGTGTGTTCTCACTGTGTTCTGTAGTTTATAAAGACCAAGTTGGGAGAGCAACAGAGAAAGTGCAATATAAAAAACATAGCAGGCTATCTCCTTGGAACCTAAAAAGCCATAACAAATGAAGAGAGTGAGATCTCAGAAACACTATGAAATTTATTGAGACAGACTCTCATGTACTAATTTAGTCCTTAATGTGTTTGTAACAAGAGAATGTGACCTTCTTCCAAGGTCAGAAGAACTTCTTCCAAGCAGACAGAAAGTAGAAGTGAAAGGAAATGAAATAGGAGGGAAAGCTGAGGGGTTGGACACTGGATTATATTATTTCACACTCGGTTCATCAGTTCACACATCTATGTAGTTACAGGTGACAAATCAGTGAAAGACGAGAGAAGACCCAAAAGCTTCGGTAAAATTTAGCTTACAAGACAACACAAAGCAAGGGAGACAAAATTTTCTCTCCACTATTGCCTTTAAAAGAACACCTTGCAAAAGTTATTTACATTAGCAGAAGCAGCTGTTTTCCCAGAGCTTGGCATAATTAAAGCTCAGCCACCACCATCTGAGGTGCTTGACTGTATCTGCTGTGACTTGCCTCTCCCTAAGGAGCTGTAGCTGAAACCGATTAGCTAGTTTCATCAGCTCAGTCAGGAACACATCGTCTTCTCTGAACTCCAACTCATCCGTATAGATCCAGCGAAGCATTGTCATTGTCACCTCAGGGTTAGCATCTGGTTAAAGAAAGCAAGCATAAAAACTTTGAAGACAAAGCACAGATGACATAGTCAAGCCCTCCCAAGGACCCCTAAAAGCTAAAGCTACAAAGAAAATTGTGGTAGACCCAGCTCAAAGAAATATCACACAGCCATTAAAAAGGGTAATTAAGCATTCTGGGTACCAGCTGACTCCAGGAAAGTGTTAACTAGTTTTGCAACGGGCAGTACATGGGGGAGATGAACCTATTAAAGTCAAGGGATTTCCCTGGTGGTCCAGTGGTTATGAATCTGCCTTGCAATGCAGGGGTTGCAGGTTCGATCCCTGGTTGGGGAACTAAGATCCCGCATGCCACTGAGTAACTAAGCCTGAGTGCCACGACTACTGAGCCTTTCATGCCACAACTAGAGAGTCCAAGTGCTGCAACTAAAACCTGACACAGACAAATAAATGAATATTAAAAAACTAATAATAAAGATGTAAGTTAAATAAGCTGGAGGAAAATATTTTAAATATATGACAAAAAGTTTACATTCTATTTTTGGGCATCTGTACCACGTCTGTACAGGCAAACCTTTCACTTCACTGCACTTTGCAGGTATTGTGTTTTTTTCTCCACAAATTGAAGGGTTATAGCAACCCCGTGTTACAAAATGATGGTTAGAAATTTTTAGCCATTAAGTACTTTTAAATTAAGGTATGTACATTGTTTTCTCTAGACATAATGCTAATAGACACTTAATAGGCTGCAATATAGTGTAAACATAACATTCATATGTACTGGGAAAACAAAAAATTCACATGACACACTATTAGGAGTTTTGCTCTTTGTGGCTGTGAACTGGAATTGAACCCACAATCTCTCCGAGGTCTGTCTGTATAGCACGACTCGGTTCATTCGCCCTTATCTTGGGAAGATAACTTATTCCTAACAGTGAGGGCATCACAAAACCACCACCGTTGAACATCTTCTCCGTGGTGGTTTCTTTACTTTTATTGTAAAATTTGGCTTGGTTTCCTTTAATAACCCTACCCAAATTGTCCAAACCAACAAACCTGTATGATGAATAAACCCAAATATGAATAGATTTTAAAAACAGTTTCTAAAAAATTGATATCAACAGAGATGCCCTGGAACCCTCAAAATTTCAAATAAAGATTTGAATAAAAATCTTCAAATAAGATTCAAGTGATCACCAAACTTTCCCACTCCTCCCTTGATTCATCCCTTAATCTCCAAACAATAAACTGAGAAGTGATCCACTCTGAGTCTCATATTAAGCAGTGGGCAGAGAACAATGAATCAGAAGGAGGTTAGGTGCTTCTGTATCAGTCAGTTCAGTCGCTCAGTCATGTCTGACTCTGTGACCCCATGTGTGACCCATGGACTGCAGCACGCCAGGCCTCGCTGTCCATCACCAACTCCCAGAGCTTACTCAAATTCACGTCCATTGAGTCAGTGATGCCATCCAACCATTTCACCCTCTGTCGTTCCCTTCTTCTCCTGCCTTCAATCTTCCCCAGCATCAGGGTCTTTTCCAATTAGTCAGTTCTTCCCATCAGGTGGCCAAAGTATTGGAGCTTCAGCTTCAGCATCAGTCCTTCCAATGAATATTCAGGACCGATTTCCTTGAGGATGGACTGGTTGGATCTCCTTGCAGTCCAAGGAACTCTCAAGTCTTCTCCAACACCACAGTTCAAAAGAATCAGTTCTTCAGTGCTCAGCTTTCTTTATAGTCCAACTCTCATATTGACACATGACTACTGGAAAAAGCATAGCCTTGACTAGACGAACCTTTGTTGGCAAAGTAATGTCTCTGCTTTCTAATATGCTGTCTAGGTTGATCATAGCTTTCCTTCTAAGGAGCAAGTGTCTTTTAATTTCATGGCTGCAGTCACCATCTGCAGTGATGTTGGAGCCCAAGAAAATAAAGTCTGTCACTGTTTTCATTGTTTCCCCATCTATTTACCATGAAGTGATAGGACCAGATGCCATGATCCTAGTTTTCTGAATGTTGAGATTTAAGCCAACTTTTTCACTCTCCTCTTTCACTTTCATCAAGAGGCTCTTTAGTTCTTCGCTTTCTGCCATAAGGGTGGTGTCATCTGCGTATCTGATGTAATTGATATTCCTCCCAGCAATCTTGATTCCAGCTTGTGCTTCACCCAGCCCAGCATTTCGTATGATGTATTCTGCATATAAGTTAAACAAGCAGGGTGACAATTTGCAGCCTTGACGTACTCCTTTCCCAATTTGGAACCAGTCTGTTGTTCCATGTCCAGTTCTAACTGTTGCTTCTTGATCTGCATACAGATTTCTCAGGAGACAGGTCAGATGGTCTGGTATTCCCATCTCTTGAAGAATTTTCCACAGTTTGTTGCGAGCCACACAGTCAAAGGCTTTGGCATAGTCAATAAAGCAAAAGTAAATGTTTCTCTGGAACTCTCTTGCTTTTTCGATGATCCAATGGATGTTGGCAATTTAATCTCTGGTTCCTCTGCCTCTTCTAAATCCAGGTTGAACATCTGGAAATTCATGGCTCACATACTGTTGAAGCCTGGCTTGGAGAATTTTGAGCATTACTTTGCTAGCATGTAAAACGAGTCCAATTGTGCAGTAGTTTGAACACTCTTTGGCATTGCTTCCTTTGGGATTGGAATGAAAACTGACCTTTTCCAGTCTTGTGGCCACTGCTGAGTTTTCCAAATTTGCTGGCATATTGAGTGCAGCACTTTCACAGCATTATCTTTTAGGATTTGAAATAGCTCAACTGGAA